TTCATTTGTGTGTATTAAAAAAGAATAACCACATGAATGATGAAAGAAATTTTGTTACACGCATGTCATTAAAGAATATTTGAACATATTCAAAGATTATCATTATATTATTATTATTATAAAATATAAAACGGAAAAAAATCGAGATTCATTTTTTTTTCTTCTTCTTGTTTTTGCAAAATGCAACATTCAATCGTCGAATATATATATATTCACATTATTATTGGCTTTATAACTGGATGGCGCTTTTTTTTGTAGCTATTTGTAGTTGCTCATCATCATCATCATCATCATCATGATCATGGTGATGATGTTCAAAATTATACTAAAACGAATAACGAAGAAAAGCAACAACAACAACAACAAGAATTAGGTCACGCCATTATATCATGTAGTCGTCGTCATCGTCGTCGTCGTCGGTTTTTGTCACCCGTTATAACTTTATTCAAAATGTTTGTGTATGTGTATTGATAACAAATAATAAACCGCTAAAGATATTTATATACAACATGCACACATATACATAAAATAAAACTTTAGGGTTACCATACGTCTGGATTTAGTACGGATATGTCCGGAATTTCATCAATCATTTGCTATTGATTGTCTATGGTTGAGAAACACTGATCAATGGATCATAATATCTCTAGATTCAGTACCAGCTTCGCATGGACACGCGTTGCCGTGACACTGTTATTAAAAAAAAAATCTCTATACTGCCGGCAGATGGACGCGGCTAAAATCGTTCATCAGAAAACTTTATTCATTGCTGTGGTTCACTATGATTGGTTTTGTGTCCAGCAGAGGACGTAGTTATTCAAAAAACATGTTTTTTTTATCTCTTACTTGTTGTGTTATCTATAGACAATCTCTAAATTTTTCCCATTAAATTTGAATACAACGTTAGGTTAAAATTTCAAATCAATAGGTCCAGTAGTCATTACAACAGAACAAAAAACGGTTTACATTTACATTTATAAAAGATTTATTATTATTATTATTATTCTGGATTCTGGATTCATTGAATTCTATCTTTCTTCTTTTTGTTCGATTTGGTTTCAATAACTATTAGAATCATCAAATTCGGTTTCAAATTTCGATTGATGATTGCTAAATGATTTTCCAATATGTTTAGGTTAATTTTTTTTTCAGCCAGCCATTTCTTGCTTTTGAATTTGTAATCGGGTAGTTTTTTGCTTTTTTTTTGAAATCGTTCATCACAATGTTGAATGTAAATGTATAGATTGAAAAACAACGAAGACAACAACAACAACAACAACAACACAAGTGAACAACAACAACAACAACAACAAAATTGGAAACATGCACGATTCAATGGAAAATAAAAACTATTTTTTTTTTTTTATTTATTCGGTTACAATATAAACACATCTATATGTAGGCGTCTAGTGGGTGTGGGTGTGTATGTGTGTGTGTATGTATATGTACGTGTTTTACATGCACATTTTTTTGTTGTACCTATACCTTTTTTTTACAATTCAAATAAAATATAAAAAAAACCAATGTACATGTACACCACTATTTGTAGGTGTGTCTGAATGTAAAGATGTTATACATTACATATAGAGATATAATCACGATGATGATGATGATGATGATGATAATGTAGATGCTGAAAACAAAAACTAAACCAAAGTAAAAAAAAATTCAAACGAATTCGATTTTTTTTTTTTTTTGAATTCAATCCATCTACATCTATCTATCTATCTACATATATATTATATTATGATATTATTATTAAACGATTCTTTACTACATATACGTTATTTTTTTTCGTTTTGTTTTGTTTTGTTTTGTTTGTTATTTTCATACAATTTTTTTTTTATTTTGGAAATGAAATTCAACTATATATATATATATATATATATATGTATGTGTATATGTATATGTGTTCGGTATCTAATGATGATGATGATGATGATGCGCTTGCGTTCCAATTCGCTGTTGTATATGTGTATGAATATAATCAAATCATATATAGAACATAGAATATAGAATCGGGTTATATATAAAAAAAAAATGTTCCAGGAGGGGCAGGGGATAGTGCGACAGTAAAAAAAGAAGAAAGGTTTTTTTTCGATGATTTTTTCTATGAAAAACATTTATTTATGATCAAGGGGGTTTACACACACACACACACACACACACACAGAGATACATATACAAGAATCGAGATACTCGACTTTAATAACCCGATTCTTTATTCTTGTTTTTTTTTCGTTTATTTTTTCTTTTGCTATTGCTGTTGTTGCGCTATTGTTGTTACGTTGCATTGCAATAGAAAAAAAAACATTGAAAACGAGGTTTTTATATATATTCCTCTTCCTTTTTTTTTCTTCTCATGCAAGATGGCTATAGAATAATTTTTTTTTGTTCCTCTCAATGATTCTGGTTATAGTTATGGTCATACAATAATAATATTATTTTTGGACTACCACTACCATATTATTGCCACTACGATTATATCAATATTATTGCAGAAAGGAAAATTTTTTTTTTTTTTTTTTTTTTTTTGTATGTCAACCATTCATCAGCATTGTGCGTATGGGATTAGATTATTCGGTTAGTTGGCCATCATCGTCATCATCATCATCAATTTTATTGTTGAATTCATTTCATCAGTAATAGTCTAGTAAATAGTCATCATCATCATCATCAATATTATTATCAATGTAAATGATTATAATTGGTATTGATTTTTTTTCTGTAAAAACAAATCAGGTTTCGGTTTCGGTTTTTTTTCAAATTCTCGTCAAACAACCAAAATAAATTCTATCAAATGATGTGATATATTGAATAATGAACAATTGATTCAGATTGATTGAAATATTTACGGGAAAGATTCTCATTGACGTTATGATTCTTTCTTGAATGTTTTCTTTTTAAAATTGTGACTGTATTTTTTTTATATAAAATTGTATGTGAAAATTCGGTGATTTGAAATTTTTTTTTTTGTTTCCCATCCAGTTGGAATGGATTTTATACCACGTTATTCACTGAATTATTGCATTGTTTTTTTTTTCTTTTGGGCCTGTTTTGTCTTTTTATGGTCAGTGTTTCTCTCTCTGTGTGTGTGTGTGTGTGTGTGTGTGTGATTGTTTTCCATTGAATTTCCGTTGATCAATATGTATATTATTATACGTTATCGACATTGATTGATTAATTGATTAACTGATTGAGAATGAATATAATTCTTCTTCTTCTTCATCGTCTTCTTCGTTTTTCGTTCTACATTTATCAATCATCATTAAAAATCTGACTATTTATTTATCTCATCTCATCCGTTATTGTTTTTCCTTGTTTGTTTTTGTTTTTGTTTTGTTTTGTTCCACATATTATTTCCGTTTGTACCATATTTATTGTAATCATTCATTCATTAATTCATTCATTTTTTTTACTTGTAATCAATTTTGATTGAATTCAAATATTGTTGATCAAAATCAATCGATTCTAATCAATAATATTGAGAATATTTTCGTGTGGATTTGTGTGTGTGTGTGTGTGTTTATTATTCAATTCAATATTCTTATAAGATCGTTGGCCTTAACGTACTAACAAATTGATTGTATTAATAATCAATAACTGGTTTTTTTTTGGGAAAAATTTACATCTGTTTCAAACATATTGTTTTTTCTGTTTTTGCATTGTTTATAGTCAATCACTCACACACACACACACACATGCAAAAACAATTTGAATATTTTGAATTATTCCAAGCCTGGGCCAGTGTTTTTTTCTTCATTTCATTATTAATTTATCCAGGTTTCAGATTCAGATTCAGATTCAGATTCAGATCCAGATTCAGAATGAGATTCTGATCCAAGTCAATTCAAAATCAACAACAATAACAATTCCTGATAATTGTATTTTTTTTTCATTTATTATTGCAATAATAACAAATAATCAAAAGTAAACAGACAAAATTTGTGTTTTAAAAAAAAAACATGAAATGAAATAATAATAAAAAAGTTTTTCCTATCATTTTCGGTCATTGTCAAAACAAAACAAAACAAAAAAATTTAACCTAAATCAAATCATGATAAAAAAAACTCGTTGGATACATGGAAAATTTTGTTTTTACTTACACCAGAAATCATCATCATCATCATCATCATCATCATCATCATCATTATTGGTCGAATCACAATTCAGTGGAAAAAAATGTATCTAGTCTGTTGCCTAGGACACACCGCAATCACACACACACACGTATGCACAGTAACCGAAACATCATTATCATGGAAATTGTCAGAAACGACATTTACATGCAAAAAAAATGGATTAATTGATTGATCATTCACAGATTGAATTGAGTGTCATCGAGATAGATACATTTTTTTTTTTGATTCTTTGAAATTTGGAAATTTTTCATTCACACACTAAGAATGATTCATTTGAGAAGAATATGTAGTGAATTTTAGAAGAGAGAGAGAGAGAGAGAGAGAGAGAGAGTGAGAGAGAGAGATTTTGAGAGAGAGAGAGAGAGAGAGTATGAAGAGAGAGAGAGAGAGAGAGAGAGAGAGAGAGAGAGAGAGAGAGAGAGAGAGAGAGAGAGAGAGAGAGAGAGAGAGAGAGAATATTCTGAATACAAAGTCATGACAATTTTTTTATTTTCCAAGAATTTTTTCATTTTATTATAAATCTCTATTTCTATTTTTATTTTTTTACATCACAGGCATTAATCATTCAGACAAAGTTCCATCGAAAAGGATTTAAATGTCAACAAAATTAATCAATTAATCAATCAAAGTGTGAACAAAAAAAAATTTTGATTCAATTTTTCTCAGGTTTTCAATAAAATTTTTCAAAAAAAAAAAATTCCAAATATTCATAACGATATATTGGCTCATTCATTGTTTTATGTTTGTATCTGGGCCACATTGATACACATGCAAATAAAAACGTCAATCACTTCATTATTATTAATATCGATTATTCGGCCAAATTTTAATGAAATATCAACATCAACAACGACAACGACAACGACAACGAAGACGATAACAACTACCATCATTAATAATCATCACCATCATCATATAAGCACATCATTATTAACAAGATGACCAATTTTACGCCGATTGCATCCAATGAAAATATTGTAAGTAATTATATAAAAAAGATATAAAATTCCAAATGTTAATTAAGAAAGAAATGAAGAAGAAAAAAAATCCAATCAAAATGAATGATTAAATAACGACAGAGAACGACAACAACAAAATATAGCTAATTAAAATGAACAGAGAAAAAAAAATTTAATCATTTTAGTTTTCATTCATTCAGATTGTTTGATTAAATTCTTCAATAATTAATTTCTGTCAATACCAATACAGAATAACAATGAAAAAAGTGTCTATTTTGAATTCAATGTGAATAAATAAAAAAAAAATTCAAAGACAAAAGCTTTTGATTGACAATTGTAGTTGTGACCTGCCATGATGGTGATGATGATAATTCTTGTTTCGATATCCTGTTGTTGTTGTTGTTGTTGTTGTTGATGTCATTGTTATTTGTCGCCGATTACATCGTTTTCGGCCATTAGCCAAAAAAAAGAGATTCATTTCTTGTGTCTCTCTCATTATTTTCTTTCTTTCTTGGTTTTACTGTAATGTTTGTTGGTGTAATATTTTTATCTAGAAAAAAAAATTCCTCTTTATTATTACTAATTTAAAATTTATTCTTCATCAACGTCAACACTGGCGCGCGAACTCACACACACACACACGCAGACAGACATCAGAGATCAACAATTTATATTTTGCATCATTCTTGAATGAAATTTTTTTTTTATTCTACCACAAACATTGAATACAACTACTGCAATGAATTCTTGTAGTTTTGTTTTTTATTTCGTTGTTGTTGTTGTTGTCGATGATTTCGGGTATGAATAGAAATTTTTTTTTCTTTTCTTTTACTTGTTTTGTAGACACATTGATTATTTCTCAGTGTTTTCTTGACATTTTTTTTTTTTTTTCACTATGATGATGATATTATCTGTTTTTTTATGCATGAAATATTTGGGAAAATTTTCAGTTGACAAATTTTTTTGTTGTGAAAAAAACAATGAGCATTTTTTTATTGGAAATTTTCTTCGCACTGAAAAAATTAAATTCAACCATCTGATCTGTTAGTTGTTATTTTTCTTTCATTTTTTTTCTGGTACTGGTAAAGAATTTATAAAGTTTCTCCATTAGAATAAAGAATGAAAAAAAACGTTTGCCAAGGTTAATCAATAAAAAATATTGCCATTGTACAAAATGGTAGATTCCAGAATCAATGAATGTAGGCCAAATTGTACTTATATGTACATATATATATCGTGTATAGAGAAAATCGAATATAAAATCAAAATAACTTGAAAACTTATCACTATTATTATCATCATCATCATCAGAAGAGTCACGCAGAATTCTAATTTGAAAATAGGGAAAAAAATAATTCTGACATTTAATCAAATTTCAAGTTTCACTATTGACGTTTGTGTGTGTGTTGATTCTAATATATCAAATAAATATGAAATAAAATGAAAATTCTGGCAGTCATTTTCATCATCATCATCATCATCATTGGCTTTTTATTTCCTTATTGACAAATAGATAATATCTATTGTACGTATGATAATCGATTTCAAACAACAACAACAACAACAACAACAATAATAACGAACAAACGTTAATGATGACAACAATATGATAGAATTCAAGTGGTTCAATAATAACTAAAAAAAAAACTATAGCAAAATAGGCTGGTTGATTATTTGCTTGTGCTTTTCAACACACACACACACACATATATATATAAATCAATAAATTGAACAAAAAAAAAAAAAATAACTGGATATTATACTAGTCATAATAGGCACCGAGGTTTTCTTTCTACTGACTACCCATTTTTTTGGGGGGTGAAGGACGTGGTGGTGGTGGTAATTTGTGTCAAGCCATTTCCCAAAAATATTTAAAAAAAACCAAAACAACAAAATTAAGGCCAGATAATGATCATGATGATCATGATGATGATGATGATAATTATTCCGGAATCACTAGAATTGAAATTTAAATTTTTTATTTTCTTCAAATTTATATATTTATAGACATGAAGAAGAGTATGAAAAATCAATATTTTAATCATGTTTATCATTAACTTGAACGACGACAACAACAACAACAACAATCGTTTATAATAAAATGACGTCTATTCAACTCCAAATGTCGACAATATAAATATATATTTTTCGTGTCATTATCATTTAATTTAATCATTATCATCGTCATCATCATCATCATCATCATTGAAATTGATTACCGAGAATTTCTTCTCTCTCTCTCTCTCTCTGTCTCTGCCCATTGTTTCAACGAGTTCAAGGATTTACACACACACACATGATGAATGAATGCAACTTGAATCGCTTGATTCATTCACTGGTGGTAGTGGTAGTCATTTGATCAAAAAAAAAAATCATTCATAAAAAACAATTAGAAAAAAAGATCTGATTTCCGGAAATATCACCTATTTTCTTTTTTTTTTTTTATCACTGTCGTTTAGTTTGTCTGATATTTCATCACTTTTGTTATAATTGCAAAGTCATGTCGAAATGTAACTGAATTGATGATGATGAAAACGATGATGAATTGCAAGAATAATGTTTTTTTTTCTTTTCGTTTCGTTTCGTTTTTATCTTACATATTTTTTTTTTAATTTTTTGCTGGTTTATGTTTTTGTCTTGGAAATTTGATTTGATTTGATTTTACTTTGAAAAATATTTGATTTTCAAGTGTAAAAAAGATTTACTTTTCAACAACTTTTTTTTTGTTCTTACGATTCGTATTCCCTGTTGTGTAAAATTTATTAGTTTTTGTGTGTGTGTGTGTGTGTGTTTGTTTGTTTGCCGTTTGTGCTAAATCTGATGATGATGAAACAAGAATTTGCCTTCCAGTTTATTGTTTTTTCGGTCATTTTTCAAATTTTACTTTATTTTACTTTGTCCAGAATTTTGTCTCTTTTTTCTTCATTCAATTCAGAATTTTTAATGTTTTTTATCTTTATTTTTTTTCTCACGTTAAAAAAAAGGAGGAGCAAATAATAAACTGTGATCTAATGGATCCAGAAATGCCCAATGATAATGATGATGAACCGGTTACATCACAGAAACCGGATCTAAAGAAAAAAGAATGGGGTAGCTATACAGAATTTTTATTGGCATCATTAAGTTATGCTGTCGGTTTGGGCAACATTTGGCGCTTCCCCTATCTGGTCTACCGTAATGGCGGTGGTAAGATATTTTTTCAAAGTCAAAATCTCATTAATTGATTGAATGATTTTCGATATGGTTAAATATATATTTTTTCTTTATTGTGTTCATAGGTGCCTTTTTTGTGCCATACTTTATTATGCTATTCTTTGTTGGTATACCATTATTTGTATTGGAATTTTCTTTCGGACAATTTATGCAAAGTAGCCCGGTTAAAGTATGGATTATTGCACCATTATTTACCGGCATTGGCTATGCAATGTGTGTTATGTCCGGTCTGGTATCCATCTATTATAATATGGTTATTGCATGGGCTGTACGTTATCTAATTACAGCATTATTCTATGACATTGACTGGGATAGTTGTGGCCATTCATGGAATACAAATGGTATAAATTATTAATTATTTATTCATGATAATATTAAACATTTCAATGATTTTTATTTTTCATTTTTCATTTCAATCATAAAAACATTGAATTGAAAATAGAATGCCTAAAATTTGATCCAACAAATTGTACGATGAAAAATGGTACCATGTTACATGATGGTACCTGTATGCAGCGACAATGTTTTTTTATTACAAACAATACAAATGTCATTAATAATGGCATAAATCCATTACATTTTATTGAAAATACTGGACTCATCAATTGTACAATACATGATGATGTTTGGTATAAATATACGTTGGAAAATTCAAGAATGCCTAGTGATGAATATTTTCAGTAAGTTTTTATTTAGAATTGAAAAAAAAACTTTATTCAATCGAATTTCATTTTCATTTTTCTATAGTAATAAAATATTGGGTATGAGTTCCGGTATCGATGATCTTATTGGTATACGTTGGGATTTAGCCGCATGTCTATTCATTTGTTGGGCCATTGTATTTGCTTGTCTTTATAATGGATTAAAATCAATGGGAAAGGTATATATATGATGAATATCATCATCGATTATTGATTATTGAATTTTCTGTTTTTTTTTTTTTTTTTGTTCACAAAAAAAATCATTCAAAACAGTCGGCATATTTTACGGCAATATTTCCATATATTGTATTGACAATCCTATTATTACGGTGTATATTTTTGGATGGTGCATCCGATGGCATTAGTTTCTATATGAGTCCTGAATGGGAACGTTTAAAACATGTACATGTATGGGTATGTTATTTCCGTTTTTTTTCAAGTTCCGTTGATGATAATGATATCTAATATTTGAATGTGAGAATTAATTAAACTAGAATTGAATTGTATTGAATTTGAACATTTATTCTATTTCCATGTATATATATATAAACAGTCGGATGCAGCTATGCAAATATTCTTTTCATTATCACCATGTTGGGGTGGCATTATTACATTGGCCAAAGGCAATAGTTTACGGCATAATTTTCTCAAGTAAATCATTCAAGAACAAACATTAGTTTTTTTTTGTCATTTTAATGAAATTTAAAATTTTCCATTTTCTAAATTAAAATTCTATAAAGGGATGCATTCTACATATCGATTGGTAATTGTTTGACAAGCGTGTATGCCGGTTTCGTCATATTCTCTATAATTGGTTTTATGGCTCATGAAATTGGCCGTGAAGTGAAAGATGTTGTTACGCAAGGTTTGTTTATTTTAGTTGATTTCATCCATAAAATGATGTGAAATTTCTAATTAATTTGAATCCATTCATTTTGATATAGGAGCTGGTCTTGCATTCATTGTATATCCAGAGGCTGTATCAAGATTACCGGTTGCACGATTTTGGGCCATCATATTTTTTGTCATGTTATCAACATTAGGATTCGGTACACAATTCACATTGATCGAATCGGTGGCCAGTACAGTATCGGAAATGTTTTTCAATCGACCAAATCGTCAGATTAAACGTCGTATATTGATGATGACTTGTTTTACATTTTTCATCTTTGGTCTAATACTTAGTACACATGTATGTGATTCATTCATATTATTCTTTCTTTTTTTTTCTTATTAATTAATTATCAACCATTTTCATCTTTCTAGGCTGGTATCTACATCTTACAATTAATGGATGATCATTGTGCCAGTATATCGGCTATAATGATTGGTTTTGTTGAATTAAATGTCATTGTTTGGGTATATGGTATTGATAAATTCTTAAGAAATGCACAGAAAATGCTTGGCTCATTTCCAATGTTTCCGCTTGTATGGAAATTTATTTGGATATTCATTACTCCCATCATATTGGGCGTAAGTATAATGATTTTATCATGATCATCAATCATCAATCAATATATATATTGATTTATTTACATTTTTTTCATTTAAACATAAAACGATTCGCCATCTATTGGTGATCATTTGAAAAAAAAATTTCCAATTTTTAAACAAAAAACAACAACAACAAATGTTTTTTACAACATAGGGTTTGTTCATTTCGACTGTGATCGAGTATGAAATGTCCACTTATGGTAGCTATGTATATCCAGCATGGGCATCGGTTGTTGGTTGGTCATTAGCAATGTTATCAATGTCGGCTATACCTATTTATGCTTTATTTAAACTTCTTACATATCCTCATGGAAGCCTTTATGAGGTATGATGATGATGGTGATGATAATTTATCTTTTTTTAACCATTTCTAATTCAATAAATCATTTCATTGTATTTTTTTTTCATATAGCGTTGGCTATTTTTGACACGACCATCACCAAAATGGTAATTAAATTGATTTTAATTTGATTTCATAATATATTGATATTTAAATTTTTTTTTTTTTTACATTTAGGTCACCACCACGTTTCGGTGATGATGATGACGATGATGACGACGATGATGATAGTAGTGATAATAATAAAAATGATAGCCGTAATCAGATACAGAATTCAAGAAAATCACATCGTCGTGGTTCGAAAAAACATACGAATCCATTGCATTTACATTTACATGGCCATGCACCATTACATTGTGAATCACAGATTGCATTACGTAATGATGAAGATGATGATAATAGTGATGATTCCAATGAAAATGAATATGAAAATCCAGCTGTCAATCATTTTATATCGAATCAATTAAGACATAATATGAGCCAAAATTCATTGGAAAGTGATACTGGTATTAATTTGAAGATTTTAAATTCACGAAAATAATGATGATTATTATTATTATTATTATTATTATGATTATAAATCAAATCATCAACATTATAGATTATTGATATTACATTAATCTATCATCAATAATTCACTTTTGCTCCATATTACAAAGAATACACATCATCACACAGAGACAGAATTGAATCAATTGTAATAACAACAACAACAACAACCAAGTAAAATTTAAATAGCTAAAAATATGATTCATTCAAACAGACTCAGCCTCAGTCACAATTTTACATCCACCGATCACCATCACCATCATCATCATCGTCATCATGATGTTGGCAGCAATATTATTTGGTCATTTTTTTGCCCTCATAATTATCACATCATTCATTGAGTAAAAACCAAAAAAGAAAAAACAATCGATTTCCAACCAAATTTAATTCATTGATGCATTTTTTTTTCTATCTGCCATCATCAGCACTATAATCATCATCATCATCATCATCATCGTCATCGTTTCCATTGCCCATTGCCCATTGAATCAAAGATTTTTATTATTATATGTCGTTCCTCTGTTTTTATCAAGCCTTTTTTTTCGCCACACTTATTAATGCAAACACACCACAACATTATCAAAAATTTTTTCACAAACAACAGCAGCTTCTTTAATTATGATTTCGTTTCATTTAATTTCGTTTCATCATCATCATCTCCAATATATATTCCTTTGACTCACGGTGACAAGAACAGATTAAGAGGAGAAAAAAAAAGAAGAAAAGTAGAAAAAAAAGAAAAAATTTTGAAAAACTCAACGAAAGAAGAATGCAAAAACGAAAACAAATCAAGCAATGGGCGCCATCTATCGATGCGGAAAGTGGAATTTTTTTTTTGAATCTTTTTTCTCCGATTCTGTTTTATTCTTCATGATTTCTATCTCTCACTCTCACTCTCATCAGCAAGACCATCGATAATACACATCTATTCATCTCATTCACTGTTGCTCTCATCTCTCTCTCTCTCTCGATTTGATACTCAATCTATATATATATTATATAAATGAAAAAAAAAAAAATATATATATATCTATTACCTATATATTATATAAATATATTCTATATATATATATATATATATATTTGAGAATAAGAAGAAGAAAATCACCTATGTTTTATATTGATAAACTGATTAATTCTATGATTATGGCTCGATTATATATTATTATTATCGATTATTGATGTTCAATAATTTAATTAATTTTATCCGGTTTTTTTTCAATCGCATACACACACACACACACACACATACAATTTTTCATTGTTTTTTTTTTCACTTTTCTTTATGATGATGATGATGATTATTAATTTTATTTTATTTTTTTTTTTTTTGGCGTTAAAGAATTACATCGAACAAGAATTTATATTATATGAATGAATGAAGAAAATTTTTTTTGTTTTTTGAATAATGGAATTTTGTCATTTTCTACCTTTTTTTAAAAAATTGCAGTTCAGGGAAGAGAAACAACAACAACAACAACAACAATATCTATACGAAATGAACAAGTTTTGGTTTTTTTTTTTTTTTTTTTTTTGTTTTGTTTTGTTTTGTTTGTTTGTTTGTTTCCTTCACACACACAAACATGTTCAATTCCAGACGATAATTGACATCATCAATAATAATAATAATTTTTTTTTCAAATAAAATCAGATTTGGTTTCATAAAAATAAAAATAAAAATTCAATGTTTTTTCGTTATTAAATGTTGATGATTGACGCATGTGCTAATCAAAAAAAAAAAAATGACAACAACAATTTTTCCGTTCATATATACAATTACAATTTACCTATCGGAAGTAATCGTAGAAGAAAAAAAAATATCACAAATCCGCTATCGATGATAAACGATTGCCAAGAAAAACTGGATGTTCATTATCATTTTTGATGATGATGATTATTATCATCATCATCATCAATGATCGATATGTCGTTTATTGTCACAAAATCTTTTCGTATGCAGTCAATATCCAACACACACACACACACACAGATAATACACTCACAAAAGGGATTGGCGTTTTGATGTTCGTTGCACATGTATATGTTTTTTTGTGAATAGCTATTTCATATACATATATATATATATATAGCTTGTTGTAATAATGTTTTCATGATAAACTAACAAATATATTTTGGCCGCTTTGTGATTGGTGGTAAACATAAATTCGAAGGCGTCACCTATTACCAAAATTGGGCAGGGTTGTAGAATATTATTCTATGAATATCAGTGAGAGAGAGAGAGAGAAAGAAAGAGAGCGAGAGAAAAAAAATAGGCGGCTTTTTTTCTTTTGCTAACATGTTTTATTTTGATTCTGATGATTTCAATCCATTTCTAGTCGATAGTGATAATGATGATGATGATGATGATGATGATGATCGGATGAATGGATTTATATCAAACAAACTATAAAAAAATTGGTTGATTTTTTTTTTGCAATCTTCCACTACTCACCGATGAAAAACATTAATATTAAACATTCAATGATCAAAGTATTCGTCAAATTAATTGATCGGTTGGTTGGTTGGTTGGATTCACATTTAATTCTATTGTTTTTTTTTTTTTTTTGGTTGTTTGTTTGGTAATTAACTGATTGATTTTGAATATTTCAGAATAATGCAATAATAATTCTGGTGGTGATATTGTATTTTTTTTGTTGTTTTTTTTTATTTATTCTGAATTCTAAAATTTGAATGATGAATTTTTTTTTTGTTTTCAAGAATTTATCAATCATTGACACAATACATTGATTCTGTATTCTTTTTATTTTTTATTTTTTTATTGATTCGTGTGTCCATTTTTGTGTCCAATATATGATGTGTGTGTGTTTGTGTGTTTATAGTTTAGTGATGGTTTTGTGAACACAACAAATTTTTTTTTCTTCAATTGATTTTTCCTCCTGATAATCAAACCATCATCATCAACATAAATCATATTTGCATTTTTTTTTCGAAAAAAAAACGACAACAACAACAATTTTAACGATGAAAGAGAAATCAAAAAATGCAGCTCGCTCAAGACGCGAGAAAGAGAATGCTGAATTTTTGGAACTAGCCAAATTATTACCATTACCAGCGGCCATTACAAGCCAATTGGATAAAGCATCAATTATACGTTTAACAACATCATATCTAAAAATGCGTGCCGTATTTCCCGATGGTAAGTCTAATCATTAATTACATTTTTATCCTCACTAAAAAAAATAAATATTAATCCTGGCCATTGTCACTAGGGCAAGGTCAATCATTCATTCATTCATTCATTGATTCGTAGCCAAATCAAAAATTGATGAAAATACTAAAAATACTATATACTAGAGGCAATGATAAAAATTCCGAATGTTTTTTTTCTCTCTTTTCATTCATATTTTATCGGTAATATTGCGCGACAATTGCAATCGTATCGTTGTCGGTGTTGTTGTTGTTGTTTGTTATATATGAATGATAACTTGATTAGAAATTCAAATGAACAATAATAAAAAAAAAATTGGAGGAAACACGACAAAATAGACAGTAAACAACAAACAACACAAAATTTTCAATGGCAAAACCTATCTAATGACTATGTATAAAATTTTCCATTAAACAAGCTTCGGTACATAACAATATACAATATACGCATACACAATTGACCAATTGCAAATTGACATCGAATTTTTTTTATTTTTCTCTGTTTTTTTTTTTTTGTTGATCATTGATTCATGATGATTTTAGTTTGATGATGAATTGCCATTTTTTTTTTTTCATTTACTCATTTTCTATATTTTGGTTGTGAAATTTTTCTGGTTGAAATAAATCACATATATATATGTGCTTGTATGTATCAATGATGATGATGATGATAATGCTGAAAAAAATTGCTCAGCAAAAACTTCAGAGGGCAATCAATTTTATTAGAATTTTTTTTTTTTGTTTCTTCTGTTGTTTTCCAATTAGAAAAAAATATGCTTCTGTTTTTTTTTTGTTGTCGCAGTGTTGTGTGTATAGAAGAAGTAAACGAGCCATGAAGGTCGAACGTCATATATGTAAGTTAAGGGATTGAATTTCAATGATGATTTTCATTAAATGAATGAATGAATGAAATGAAATGAAACCATTATTTCTACTACACAAATAAACAAACAGACAGTAGTAGTCTGGATAATAAAATGACAGATTTTTTTTTTTTTTTGGTACTTTCTGGTTTCATGGATAATTTCCTACAAATGTTTGACACATTGGACAGGACATTTTGTATACTACCTGTGAGATATGGCTCATTACATACAGAGTGAGAGAGAGAGAGAAAAAAAAACTGTCCTAAACACAAATTGGATGCATAAAAATGGAAAGAATTTCCATCTATATATAAATTCATGAAATTCAAATGAACGAAAAAATAAATAAAACAAATCGATTCAACATTACTTTGTTGTTGTTGTTGTTGTTGTTTTTTTTCTATTGGTTGTTTGGTTTTCATTTTGATGGCAAAGTTCAACTTTGAAACATTGAACCTTTGAACCTTGTGACCATATATACAATATATACATAATAATAATTATTATGCAGAAAAAAAATGAATCGACCATGTCCGTTTTAATCATATTCTAATGATAAATATGTGGTTGATGTGTTTGTTTGTGTATGTTTGATTCATGTTTTGGGCGCTCATCAATTTGATTTGTGTATTGTAAGTGTCTGTGTGTGTGTGTGTGTGTGTGGAATAATTATAATGTAAAAATTGTATAACTTTGTTGTTGTTATTTTCTCGGTTTTTTTCGGTTTTGGTTGTCGTGTGTAGTAGTTGTTGTTGTTGTTGTTGTTGTCACATTTTTTTTTATTCCATTGGCTACAAAAAGCTCCTAAGAGACCAGATACAGACAGATAAATTAATGAAGTTTTATGTAGCCGAATTTTATTCCAGGTTCAGGTAGTAATTTTGGTTTTTTTTTCTACTTGAAGTTTATCATAAATCTTTTGTGTATTTTTTTTTGTTTTGTTTTTGTTTCAATGTTTCAGTCTTTGATTTGATTTATATTTACGTTCAAAGATCACTATGATGATGATGATGATGGCAATGATTTTTTCATTTTTTTTGGTCGATGGCGGATGTTTTTTTTTTGCTACATTTATTTTGATTCATATGGATCGAATGAAAAAAACTAACCAACCAACTAGGACCAGACAAAACAAAGAATTTTGTTGCTGTTTGCTAGATAATCTTAAGTTCTTTGATCATCATATATCAGGTGAAAATTACATCCATTGGTCGTGTGTGTGTGTGTGTGTGTGTGTGTGCATGTAGTGGAAATTTGTTTTTGTTTTTTTTTTTTGATTTTGATAAAATTTTTTCGTCATATGGCTTGAATTTGTTCAGTTTTTTTTTATTTATTTATTGGTTAGCAAATATCTGGTCATTCTGGATAGCCAAAAGTGTGAAAACAAAACAAAAACAAAAACAAACGACAAATATTGAAACAAATTGAATGAAAATGAAATTGTCCAGTCCATCAATCAGATTTGAATCAAAAAAAAAAAAAAAAAATTTCAACAACCAAAAACATTTTCATTTTGTTGTTGCAAAGTTGAATTTGTTTATCAAACAACCACAACAAAAAACATCATTGGCTATTGGCTATTGGAATTTTGTTTTCTCCATTCAATTGCAAAAAAAAATTCAAGAATTTTTTTTTTGAAATAAAAGTAGAGAAAAAATTCTAACCATATTCAACACACATATCTGTCTATTGACTATTGATATCAAAAAAAAAAAAAAAAAATTTCACTTCATTGGATGTCTTTCACTTATATATAGTGTATACTTGTATATAAAAACAAAATCTCAAATGTCAATATGTTATTGGTGTTTTATTGGCAATGGTTGTTACCAACATGGACACCAATCACAAATCCCAATCAAACAACCAACCGACCAACCAACCAACCGACCAACAAACCAAACAATTAAACACAACAAAATGTTGATGTGTTTTTAACGAATTAGGTGAAAAGTTTTTTTGTTGTTGTTGTTATTATTGCAGTTGTTTTCAGATGATTTGATCTGTTTGGCATATTGATGTTTGGCGTTTTTGTTTTCGTTGTTGTTGTTGTTGTTGTTGTTATTATTGGTTATGTTTCATTAAAATGGATACAAACATCAATATAATGAATATTTGTGGTTTGGTCGTTTTTTTTATCAGTGAACTAAACAAAGAATGAAAATATAAATCTCTTGTGTGTGTGTGTGTGTGTGTGTATAACACACATCTATCAATGTGTCGATCTATCAGTACATTATGATGATGATGATGATGATGATGATGGTATTAGTGGATGAATGAAATTGATCCGGATTTCATCGTTTTTTTTTTGTTGTTGTATTTCAATCTGTCTACATGTGTTTGTTGTGGTTTGTCCACGTGTTTAGGTTTATCATTATAATCATTAAATACAGACAATTTGTCAATAAAAAATGAAGAAATGGCCAGGATTTTTTCTTTTCAATAATTTGGATTGACTGTGATTATTTAGTTTGTTGTTTTTTTTTCTCTCTCTCTCTTCTGATAATCAGCTTAACATGAATCATCATCATCAGTCATTATTTTAAAATTTTAAATTTGAAAGTGAAAAAAAAAATTTTAAAACAAACAGAAAAAAAATTTCAAAAAAAAATTCAATCAATTTAAATTGATTGGCCATCTCAATCGATTATGATGATAAACAATAGTAGCAAATCTAAAAAAATCAAAAATTTGCATAATTTACTTTTTTTTATGCAACAAAATGATGCCATCACACGAACAATTTTTTTTTGTATGTAGTGAGAATTCATGTCTATGAATTTTTTTTTGTTTGTTTGTTTATTGAAACAGAAAAAAAATGAAAATTTTCATTTCAACAATAACCCAAATGCAAGGCCATGATTTTTTTTTTTTTGATCCAAATTGAGGAATAAAATACTGATGCACACACACACACACACACAAACATCCAAAACATGCCTTTTCATATTCCGTTTTGTGTTACGATGATAATGAATATCATCACAGAATATTCGGCCTAGACCTTTTTTCAATTTTTTTTATGGGCAATTAAATTAAAGGCAAAAACACACACACACATGCACACACCCACTACGAAAAAAGAAAAAGCCGGGTGACAAAAAAACTAAAACATTTCATACTTTAGAATAGGAGATAACGACAAAAAAAAAATTTACCGTCAACGTCTTTTTTTTTTTGTCGTGAATTATATAATATCCAGCCATATCAATAATAATAACCGCATTCTTTTTTTTTGGAATAAAAAAAGACACCAGATTGACTATGATGTGGATGATGGGCTATAATCACTTGTGTACACTATACAGACACCAGATCAGTGAAACCAAATGATCCGATCCGATCCGATTTTTGTTTTGTTTTGTTTTGTTTTCTTTACATTCAAAATGATTTCAATCGTTTCAAACACAAGCTAACAGTTTGGCCAGAAAATAATAACAAATGGTTTTTCATTGTCTTTCCTTTCGTTTGCTCATCTTCATCGTTGTCGTTGTCGATAATGTCAACAAATAATTATGGGCCGCCCATATAAAAAATGATGATGATGATAATAATAATAAGGATATATTCAATCTGATCCAGTAGAAACAGCCTGTGATGAAAATTTTCAAAAAAAAAAAAAAAAAAATTTCTGGTACTCTATATATCTGGTGTGTATGTTTTTAATGTTTGATAATAATAAATACCAGGAATATGGTATTGATACCACCTTTGTCTTCTTATTCTATTTTCTGATTTTTGGTTATATTTGATTTGATGTACATTTTCACGATATTTTTGTTTGTGTACGTATGTGTGTGTGTCTGTTGTATTATCATCATCATCATATGGTCGTAGTCGTCGTCATTATCATCATCATCATCATGTTCGACATTAATTCTAACAAATGTATTGTTTACATAAAGTTTTTCATTTCTTTCACACACACACACAGTCTTCTCCTTATATATTTTTTTTCCACAAATTTTCACTTTTATTTTCAATAAAATAAGTAAGTGGATAAGTAACACAACCTACAAATGAAGAGAGAAATGTGATACAGTTTTTTTTTCTGTTCAAATATATTTTTTTTTTGCCATTCATTTTCCTTTGTATGACGATGATCAGCATGATGATCCAAAAAGTAAATCATGTTGATTGATAATGAACAATTTGTACACGGTTGTAGAAAGACAAAGAAAATTGCCAAAAAAAAAAATGAAAATGAAAATGAAAATATTGAAACAAAATTGTTCCATGCAAAGAACAAACAAAATGATTAGTAATGGATAAAACAAAATTGTACTCTAAACAATCTGGGTAAAGATGTTATGTTTACCAGAAAAAAAAACAAAAATTTCTCTTTACAAACGGAATCACTGCAAAAAAAAAAATTCAATTATAACAATCATCATCATTATCAAATGAGCAATTCTGAAAAAAAAATGAAAAAAAAAAAAAAAGTTTCAAGTATTCCAATCATCATCATCATCATCATCACTTGAATCTTTATTTTTCGTTACCAGTATCAAGATAACAACAACAACAACAATAACAATAAAATAGTTCATCATCATGTTTTTCAAGTACAACAATTCATTATCTAATTGATTGGTATCAACAACAACAACAACAACAACAGAAACACTTCACAAATCATATGATATCATCATCATCTGAAGAATGGTTTATGATAAGAAAAAAAAAATGGTCAACAAAAATAATTGTTGTTGTTGTTGTTGTTGTATCAAGTGGTGTTTTATATGAAATTCATTAATGATAATGATGCTCAATAATTAATGTAATTAACAGAATAACAAAAGAGACAGGCAGAGAGAGAGAGAGAGAAATGAGAAAGATTTCAAATCCACCATCACCAACCCGAACCCACCACCATATAACCAATAATAATAATAATAATCATTAAATTACACGTGATGATGAACATGTTTTCTCGATTCAATAAATCTAAAAGTAGTGCTTCAAATTTTTTTTTTTTACATTTTCATTTGAAAGAATCGGAATGATGATGATGATCATCATCATTATTGTATTTCAATCACTCACTCATCAATCTATCCATTCATTATATTTATTCTTTCTGTTTTCAAAATCCAAAAAAAAAGTTTGAAAAAACAAAACAAGAAATTCATGGAGAGAGAGAGAAAAAAATGTAGTTGTGTGTTATTTATTTTACACAAGTGAATGGAAAGAATTTTTCCATTTTTGTATGGTTTTTTTTCACTCTGAATCATTCCAAATGTGTGTGTTTAGACATAATAATAATAATGAGCTTGCTGGTTTGAATCTTATTAAATATATATAGATAGCTTGCCATGGTTTGTGAATATGTTTTTTTTCCACATATATAATAATAATAATAAAAAAATAACGACCAAAATCAAGACAAAACAAAAAACGTATGTAAACATGGCACGTGGCCATCATCATCATCATTGTCACGCGTTCACCACTACCAACAACACCATGGTCATGATTATCATAATGCACAATATATAATAACATGCGCAGCAATGAAAAAAAAAGAGAAAAAGATTTTTTTTTTTAAAGAAAGAATAAAATTTTTTTTTTTTATTTCAAGTTAACGAGGATGGTTATTCTTGTTATTTTCTTTGTGTTATTGTTGTTGTTGTTGTTGAATCAAGAAATTCTTTGCATTGAAATAAAAATGAAAATCAGTAGCGACAAAGGAAGGGAAAAAAAGTCAACATAAACAACAATTGTATAATGGGCGAAACAAAATATACGACCGTGTTGCCTTTGAAAATCGATCGATCGATCCAATCCGATCCAACATCGATTTGTATGCGGACAATACACACACAGACAAAATTTTTTTTTTTTTTTTTTTTTGTTGACGAAGCCAATTATCCATATGATGACTGTAGTATGAATTTTGCTTTCTTTCAACTACAATCGACAACGATTTTGACAATGACGAATTTTTTTTTTTTTGTCAACTTTAATTTGTTTTTTCTCTTCATCCAATCTGAATCTGAAAATTTTATAATTTAAATGTTAAATGAATGAAATTTCTACTTTTTTCTTCTCTTTTCTCTTTTTTTTTCATCATATATATTAGGATTAGGTGATTGTTGGGGTACGAAACCACCGCCACAGAATCCTTATGAATCATCGATTCGTGAATTAGGATCACATCTTTTACAAGTAGGTGATTTTTCTGTATTCTTTTCTACATTTAATTTCTAATCAATTTTATCAACTAGACATTGGATGGTTTTGTATTTGTGGTTGCACCGAATGGAAAAATTATGTACATCTCAGAAACAGCATCTGTACATCTTGGTCTATCACAAGTTGTGAGAATTATTTGAATTTATCAAAATCATTGCTAATTGTTTGGTCTTTTTTTTTTTTATTTTTTTTTTTGTACTGAAATATAAATTTCAGGTTGAATTAACCGGCAATAGTATCTATGAATATATACATCCAGCCGATCATGAAGAAATGAATTCCGTATTGAATGCATGTTCACATTTTAATAAAATACAACAATCACATGAATCGATTGATGAAAATGTAACAACAACAACTACTACTACTACTACTGTGGAGAAAGGACAGAATTTTACCGAAGCAACCGGAATATTCAGTAACTATTTTCAGCAACAACAACAACAACAACAACCACAAAATCAAAATTCCAATAGTTTTATTCATCAAAATAATAATACAGAAACATTTCATAATAGTAGTGATTTTATTCCCAAAGATCAATTAAGGTTTGTTTGTTATCCATTTATTATGATCAATCAATTGATTTTTTTTATACTTTGCCAATCAAATAGTTGTAGTAATAAATCATGGACAAGTGCAGATAATAGTAATAGTTCAATTTGTAATTATATTAAATCATCACAATCATCAGCTAGCTGTTTTGATATTATTGGTAATGATAATAATAATTTTACCGATGATAATAATCTATCAACAACATATTGTTCAACACGTAAAAAATGTAAACGTGAACAAATGGATAATAATAATAACAATGGTAATTGTAATGAAGTTTTAGATGAAATGATTAATCGATCACCAGATATGGATGTAATCAAACATAATCAGCAATCAAAATATTATACTAAACAACGTGCAATGATTTCTGAATTAGATTTTTCACATCATCATAATAATCAAGAACAATCGTCTAATACTTCCAATTATTATTATACATTCAATGAAGTGGAAAAATCATTTTTTCTTCGTATGAAATGTGTATTAGCTAAACGTAATGCTGGTCTTACATCTGGTGGTTATAAAGTGATTCATTGTAGTGGTTATGTTAAAATTCGTCAACAACATTCCACTGGTGATCATCATCAAACCATAATAACGGCAGATGATTCAGCTAATGCAATAACATCTGATCATCATCATCATCAACAACAACATTGTTGCCAAAATCTTGGACTTGTTGCCGTTGGACATTCATTACCGCCAAGTGCAATCACTGAAATTAAAATGTATAACAATATGTTTATGTTTCGTGCTAGTCTTGATTTGAAATTGATTTTTCTTGATGCAAAGTATGTATGCATAACAAAAAACAATGGCAAAGATTTTGGAAATTTTTTTTAATCAAATTTTTTATTCAAAAAAAAAAAAAAATTTTAGAGTTTCACAATTAACCGGTTATGAACCACAAGATTTAATCGAAAAAACTTTATATCATTATATTCATGGTAGTGATGTGGAAAATATGCGCATTTCACATCAAACATGTAAGTTTGTATATAAATATCGATTATTGAAATTGAAATTTCATTTTTTCATTATCCATTTCAAATTTTAATCAAGTATTAAACAAAGGACAAGTAACAACCAAATATTATCGTTTTATGGCCAAACCATATGGTTGGATTTGGATGCAATCATATGCAACTATTGTACATAATAGCCGTTCATCAAGACCACATTGTATTGTTAGTGTTAATTATGTTCTAAGGTAAGTGTTGTCTAGGTGTGTTTGTTTTCATATTCAAAACAATTTTTGTTGATTTTTTGTATTCATCATTCAAAAAAAACAAAAAATATAGCCAAGCTGAATGTATTGAACATCAACTGTTAATTGACCAAATGTTAACCCCATGTAATAATAGCCATATTCAACAAAATAATTCAATGATGACCACCATCAATCCATTGTCATCATCATTATCTTCTACATTGTCGTCATCATCATCATCATCATCATCTTCATTATCATCATCATCATCATCATCATCATCATCATCATCATCTATATTATCAACTTCGGCATTGATACATGAAGCCGAAAATTCAATGGATATTATGACTAATAATTCTGATGAAACTGATCACAATGATCATATGGGTAAATCGTCGATGATCATCAATAATGTAACATCGGCACAAAAATTAGCCATTATTGATCAATCATTATCATCAATAGCAACGACAACAACAGCAGTGACAACAGCTACAACACATAAATCGACAATAACAAAAATGATGAATGAAAAAGTAACGAAAAGTAAGTCCTTTATGAAACATATATATATATATGAAATCAAATAATCCGAATGTTCTTAATTCATTCTTATAGAGAAAAATAAATCTAATAAACACAAACAGCAACAACAAAAAAATATTGCCATAAAGCATGACAGTTCGATACATATCGATGGCCATACAATCAACAACATCAATAATAATAACAGCTTTAGTTTCAATGATGATGGTGATTTATCCACGATGATTACACCTACTTATGATACAAACAATAACAATAATATCAATCACAGTATTAATAGCTACTTATCTACCGTTACAAAATCATCGGCGATACTGGATCCACATTCTCATCATCATCATCATCATAATGATACGATGATGATTTATGGTACATCGAATTCAATACCTATGGTCAATAATTCCTTCCATTCTCATTCTCATACTCATCATAATTCATCAAATATTTCATCCACATATAACTGGAATGATCATCAACATCATCAACCGACAGAATCATTGTTGAATAATTATTATGATGTAACAAACACTAACAATAATAATACAGACACAAATTATTCAAATGAACAATTATTTCATACAATTCCAACAACAACATCATCGACAACCACATTTACAGTGACCGATTTAGATAATGTTGTACCCTTATCCATACCTGTACCTCCTTCTCTATCGTCATTACCACAATCGATTATGACACAATTCTCTTCCAATGATCAATCTATTTCTATACAAAATGATAATGTTTCTTCGTTGTATTCATCACATCATCATTATTCAAATCCAATCCATCATCAACATCAACAACACAATCAGCATCATTTGTATGGCAATGGAATTAATACCGGTTATAACAATATTTATGAACAAAATTTTCGACAAATTGACAATGAATCAACAACGAATATGGTTATCAATGCTATTAATAATAATGGTGTAATATCATCATCATCATCATCATCAGCTGTAGATCAATTACATCCGATTACATCCACATATATCGATGATAATAATGCCTATACAATCAATACCGGTCCATCAATTAATATGAATGATCCTTCCACTAATACATTGGTTGATTTTCAATTATCCAATACAAATGACACTCATTACCAACAACAACAACAACAGCATCATCATCATCATCATTTGTCCAATAATATAGATGCTATGCATTTATTAATAAATGACGATAATGTCAATGTACCAAATACAACAACCACAACGACTACAACAACAACAACAACAGCAACATCGGTAGCATCGGTAACGACAAAAGCCGTAACAATATCACCATCATCAATTGATCCATCGATAACGAATAATAGCCAATATAATATGACAATGTTTGATTCGAATACCTATCTTAATCTAATCGATGATTGTGGTAATGGAAACAATAATATTGCCTATTGTAATAACAATAATAACAATGACAATATTATAATGGCAACTAAAGAACCAACATCATCAACAATGTCGATAATAATGCAGAATGATGAACAAAAACGTATTGTTAATGATTTAATTACATTACCAATAGCGTCATCTAGTATTGATGATTTTCAACAACAACAACAACAACAACAGCAACATTATCATCATCATGGTCATAATAACCACAATCATCATCATCATCATCAACAACAAATGATACAGATTAATACAAGCGCCAAGTGAAAATAAATGAATATATATGGATAGCCAAATAAACAAACGCCCAATTTTTTTATTATTATCATCATTGGAAAAAAAACAAACACTAAATTAAATAACAAGCTAACAATATACATACATAAATAGCGGAAAGGCGTGATTTATTTTTATTTTATTTTATTTTTTTTTTTTTGAAAATCATCATCATCATTTTAATTATTATTCAAATCAAATTATTACAATAGATTATAATTATAATATATATATGTTTCAAAAATCATTCGATTGATAATAATGAAATTATTATTAATTAATAAATTAATGAATCAATGAATGAAGAGAAAATGTTGAAAAGAACTGGGTTAAAAAATTGTTGAGTTCATTAATTGTGATCACAAAACATGATATTCGTATATTTTTTATTTTTTTTTAAATCCATTCGTTTATGTTTGAAAAAAATGAAAGTAGTTTTTTTTCTTGAAAATTTTTACAATTAAACTTGTTATATCAAAAAAAAAAGAAAAAAAAAAATAGAAAAAGACCAGAGAAAATTAAATTATTATAATAATTAATCAATTGAAAAATAGTGATATTTCCATCAAAAATTCAGGCTATTGTTGGATCACGATTATCACCTGAATCGATAATTGCATTTACATCTATATTCAATTCTGATGATTGTACAACGTTTCGATTATCACCACTAGTATCATGGAATGTTTGTGTAATATTTTCAGCAGTACATGTGGGAAGATTCTCAGTAGTCTGACAGGTATCATTCATTGGTCGAAAATAATATTGGTAATTACGATTAAAATAGACGAATAATGTGACGAAAACAATAGAAATGACAACACCAGTAATGACAATGAGATACTGTTGCAATGGATTTGGTTGAACAAAAATTCTAAGGCTAACAGCATCCCATTTACTTTCAGTCCAAGCTGCATATTCATTATGATCCACAAAAGATTTTCGTATATCCAAAGTTTGACCATCAAATGCCGGTGAAACACAATCCACAGTGAATACATTAGAACGAACACATTCACCAAGAAGAGATTGACCCATTTGCCACAGATATGTATGGTACTATAGATAAATGTAAATAAAAATGTATTGATTAATCATTGAAAAATCAATCAACTTACGGGATCCGAATTAGCCATTGATACACATTTATCGAATGCTACATGCATATTTTCACCGGTAAAATAATTCAAAATACGTCGAATATATTGTCTGAGGATTTTTGTTCGTGGATCAGCTTGATACACGCTAACATAACTTGGATATGGCGGTAAAATATGTTTTACATTTGAATCCGAATAAATTGTACCATTTCCATCACCATCATCATTATTCGATTCGGCCGTTATATTAGACGGCTGTAAAATAATGGAGAATAATTTACAATTAGAATTGTGCAATAAACATTCCATTAACATAGAAATTAATTCTTCGTCGGCTTGCTTGTCCAGATCCAACGGTTGACCAGTGATTGATTGATAAACAACACGGGCAAATAACGTGGCAACAGATTTGATTCGGTCTAAATATGATTTTTTAAATTCGATTGAATTCATCATATCAGAACCATCATCAAAAAGGCTATTATAATATTTGTTGATGAATTCATCACGATGATTGGTGATGACAATGTGTTCAATATCTTTGCGCTATAAAACAATAAATATTGAATTAGAAAAAAAAATTACTATGAAAAATTGCAAAAAAAAGTTACCAATTTGAGAAAACTTTGTACAGATGATGGTGGCAATGGCATTTCGTCAGGTGTTTCATTCATTTGTAAATCTTTGAATTTATTGCTTTCATTCTGTATTATATTGATCAATTGTTTACTATTTGTACCAGGATTTTTATGCAAATAAAGTGGTAATTTTTCGGAAATTTTATGTAGACCAATTTGTTCAAATTCAATCCATTGAAATATTTTCGAAAAATCAAATTGCAAGGATTTTTCATCCGAACGTTTTTTCGGTAATGGAAAAATTTTCTCTTTCATTTGGAATGCAGCTGAACTTGAGCCTATATAATCAAATGCTTCACCATCGAATAAAGCAATAAATAATGATCGTCTATTATCGTTATTGATCAATTTTGATTGAATATCAGGTCTGTACAATATTTCAGCAATAGCAATAATTGTTATCAAAGATGACATAACGGAATCGGCACCCGGTGCTAATCCATCAAACATACTAAATGTATCCAAACGTGTAGCCAAAACGACAACAGAATTATCAGGCAAAGAGTCTGAATCATTTAATTTGAATGTATGTGAATAGATATTGATACCACCCAATGGTTCACAAAATGAAATGGGCATCAATGAAAACCATGAATCCTGGCTAAGTATTGAACGGCGAGTACATGTGATGGAATCAACAGCACCATGCATTGGTGCTTTGAATTCAGCAGCCAATTTTGGCCAATCTTGATGTTGTGCAGTTTTCTAAAAAAAAATCATTAATTAGAATGGAAAAAATAGTCACCGAAAACACTTACATTCAATAACCAATCAATATCGGTTTGATTACGTAGGAAAAATATTGGAAAGGGCCAATGTTCATAAAGTAAACCATTATCATAATGTTGTGGATTCGGTTTATTCCATTGAATCTTACGGCAAAATCCATATTTATCATCATTAGTATAAAGATCAAACATTTGATTTGGACAAGAACGATCGGATGAAAAACCAGATGCGGGTCGGCCATAATCTAGTACAAGAACGCCAGCTACATGATCAGATTTTTTAAAGGCCATCAATGTTGTACTTTGAATGGATAAAAAAAACAATGAAAACGAAAATGAATTGAATTGAAAACTTACAAATTAAATTGTTTACTAGTTATCACAGGAACATAGGCTGATTGACCACTTTTAATTTCTTCCATATCATTATCATTATTGATGATTTTAATCAAACCTTCATTGCCAAATTTGGAATCTATGAATTTGGAGTAAATGAATAAAAAAAAACAAACAAACAAAAAATTCAATAATCCATCAAAATCAATCAATTTTCTTTCACCAACTTACCACTGCAGCCAATTTGATTGGTAGCATTAAAACGTAAGAAACAAAAATTTTGTACTTGTATTTCATGATAGATTTTTTTCTCCACCGTACCAGAATGGCAACCAGTAGGTTGATTGATCAATATGAACATTAATAATAATAATGAAAATTTAATGATATCGAATGAATTTTGTTTTATCAAAGATTTCGATGATTTCACTATCATCATCATCATCATCATTTTGAAACGATGATGATGATTAGTATTGGCCATTTGTTTTGAGTAATAAAATTATTGATGATGATTTAAAAAATCAATTTAAATCCAGGTGACACAAAAAAAATGACAATTATTATTTGTACGTTAGAAACAATAATAATGACTACAAATAATAATCAAAAATCGAAATCGAAATCGAAATGGATTTTTTGGATGGATACGGTGTGCTCGTCATTCAATCATAGAGGTAGTAGCATTATTATTTATTTTTTATACTGTGGATAACCGGCATATTCACTTTTTTTTCCAAGTCATGGCTGCAGAATAGATTTATCATTAACTGATAGCAATATTGATTGGAATCCAACTGGATGCACATACAATGATGGTTATACATTCCTTTCATGATTTTTTTTTCTTGTTTCGTTGTTCTCTGAGTATCTTTTTTATGTGCTACTACTGCTACGTTCGACAAGCGAAAAAAAACAACTACGAACAAAACTATCCGTCTTAGCTTTTGCTGCTGGGTGTGTGTGTGTGTGTGTGTGGTCTGTGGTCTGTTCTATATATCCAATTGAAGAAAAAAAAAATAACGCGCCAAAAGTTTTATCACAACATAAACAACAACAACTAAAACGTTGCTGCCTTTCATGAATTTTTTTCTTTGTTACGGATTTTTTTTCTTTGTTTTTCTTTCTTCAAAAATTATGTCCGATGATCAGAATATCAAAACGATGTTATCATCATCGGATAACCATGCAAGAACAACAACAACAAAAACATTGACACCAACAAAAAAGGTTTGGCCAACAACATTGAATAAATCATGTGAACAAATATCGAAAAATTCAAATTCAAATTCAAATGTGGATCCATCATCATCATCATCATCATCATTATCACCGATTAAAATTCGATTCAATATGATGCAAGCAAGAGAAAATATACGTCGTTTTAAAGAACAAGATATTCGTGAAGAAATTGAAAAAGATCCATGGTATCATTATTCACTTCGTTATCGTCGTCGTAGACAGCTTGAAAAGTCAAAGAAAATTTTACAACAACAACAACAACAACAAAACAACGAAAATGATTCAAATCAACAAGGAATTTTGGATGATAAACAATCAAATGATGTTGATAATGAATTAAATAAATTCGATGATGATAATCAATACCATTTGGATAATCTGAATGAATCAATCAAAAATCTGCTTGCTGATTTTGATAAAAATCTTCATAATGATGTTAATTCAAAACAGAATTCTATTGAAAACAAAAATAAACGAACAATATTTATGTTGAGCGAAGAAAATCAAGAACAAATTTCTGGTTCACCATTAAAACGTCATCGAACAAACGTAAATAAATCACCAAAAAAAAATAAATTTTTCAAATGTAAAGTTGCTAACGCCAATACTGATGGTTGCAATAATAATCAAAATACAAGACAACGAAAAACGATCGATCCATTATTATTTTTTGATCACGTTAAAACATTTGATTTTGAATCTACTAGTTCTGGTATGTATTTTGTTTGTTGTTTTTACAATAATTAATTCCAATTTTTTTTTGTATCATTATAACAGATTCTAGCATATTGTCAAAACAAAAAAAGAAATCTAGTGATAATAATAAAAAATTGATTCCGATAGAAGAAGAAGAACAACAACAACAACCATCAGATGAAAATGATGCTGATAATGAACCAAAACAAGTGATAAAAAAATTGACCGATGTATCTAATCAATGTTTGATCGGTGATCGAAATTCGAAGAATTGTAGAAAAACAGTGGTGAAGAAAAAACAATCTACAAATGGTAATTTTCGTAAATTACAAATGCGTAAAAAACGTTTCTACTTGAATCGAAAACAATCACGTTTTCAAAATTTAAAAAAGAACAAATTCAAACAATACAAAGCGAATAAGATGAATGCAAAATTTGATAATAAATGCTATAAATGTGGTTCAAATGATCATATTGAAGAAGAATGCGATAATATACCTAGTCTTGCCGTACAATTCGATGATGATTCTGCCGGTGATGGTAATTTGGATTCAAGTTTTGATGAATCACTTGATCTTGGTATTAAAAAAACTATTAACACTGATCATCATGATGTTAGACGTATTGTTTTGCATAACTTTATGGAAATTTCACCACATAGTATTCATCCACAACAGCGTGATGTAATAGGACGAATAATATGTGGTCATTCATGTTTGTTTATTGCACCAACTGGTTTTGGTAAATCAATATGCTATCAAGTGGCTGCCTATACGTATTGGGACTTTTTTCGTTCAATCACTATTGTCATATCACCATTGATATCATTGATGCAGGATCAGATTCGTAATCTGCCAAAAAAACTTCGTGGTGTTTGCATAAATTCCAATCAAAGTGAACGTGAAAATGCAGCTGCCATTTCGGATATTATAGAAAATCGAGCACAGATTCTGTTCCTAAGCCCCGAATGTTTGGTGAATGGATTTTATTCTATTCCATTTAAATCATTTCCAAAAATTGCATTCGTTTGTATTGATGAAGCACATTGTATTGCATCATGGTCAACAAATTTTCGGCCATCATATCTGCAATTATATGAAACAATACGTACAAAATTGAATATACGTGCAGTATTGGCATTGACGGCAACAGCTACGCCGGAAATGATTGAAAATATCTGTAAAAATCTTAATATTGATCCAGAGAAAAATGTTGTTGGCAATACAAAAATAGCGGAACATCTTTTAATAGCGGTTTCAAAAGCACCGACAAACAAAATGAAAACCTTGGTGAAACTATTGAAAGAGCCAGAATTTGTTAAATGTTATTCAATAATCATCTATTGTACACGACGTGATGATTGTGAACGTGTAGCATCCTATATACGTACATCTTTACAATTTGAAAGTAATTTTCGAGATACCGAATCATTTGCCGAATGTTATCATGCTGGCCTTTCTTCACAACAACGTCGTGATATTCAACGACGTTTTATAAATGATCAATTACGAATCGTTGTCGCTACAACTGCATTCGGTATGGGCATCAATAAAAGAGATGTATGTGCAGTCATACATTATGATATGCCAAAAAGTTTTGAAAACTATGTACAAGAAATTGGTCGTGCTGGCCGCGATCTTTTTCCCGCACTTTGTCATCTTTTTTTAGATGAAGATTATAGTGATCTTTATACTTTACAAAATTTTATATACGCAAACGGTGTTGATCGTTGTAATATTGAGAAATTCATACATTTAATTTATGAACCATGTCATTGTCGTCGTATGGCTGAAGTTTTCGAAGAAATAACCATTGAAGATGATTGTAATATTGAATGTCCACGGCATCCAGTTGCATTGCCTATTTTTGCAACCGAAATTGAAACCGATATTAAATCAGAAGTTCTTCTTACCATTTTGATGATGTTAGAAAACAAGAATAATGATCTTGATATCGATTTGGATGGAAAACCGTTTGCTATAAAAATTCACAATTCATTCAATTCTATTTGTCATGTTGCTAATTTTAGTGAAGAAAATTTTATTGACAAATTAATTGAAAAAGATGAAATTCTTCGCCATGCCGATGTACTATTAGAACGACAACGACGTTTAACGAATGGAAAATGGAATCGAAATAAAAATTTTAGATTTTCCATTGCGGATGTTGCCAGATTGATGGGCAAAGATGTCTGGTACATACGGAAACATCTTAAAAAACTTCAACGAAAATATCGCCGTGAATTGGGCATACGTTTTTCCGATTATTCATTTCATTTTGAAGCGGCTGGAATATTTTCCCAAATACAATTGAATCGTATTATTGATTGTGTTTATGAACGTATGATGAAATTTGAACGTCAAGAATTGACAAAATTACGTTTTACATATCAAAAATTTTATCAATTTCGATTAATTGGTTCGGATCGTAAAGATGATGAAAAATTTTTGGCCAAATATAATGGACTTAGAGATTTTTTAAATGATATTTATTTTGGTTCTAGATTCACTGCAGAAGATATTGAAAATTCATTATTATCATTGAGTCAAAATAAAAACAATTATGGACTACCACGTATGTTGGATATGACCGATGAAGATTATGCAGCCATTACATATAAGATAACGGAATTTATTCGACAATATTTTGATCAAGGAGTGGATAGTGAAAGAAAAATTTGCCGTATATTGACTGGTATTTCATCACCACAATATCCAGCACATATATGGGGCCGTGTACGACAATTCTGGCGTTCATTGGTAAATGTTGATTTTGAATTACTCATGAATATAACCAAAAAATGTTTACATGATCATCGTAGTAATAACTGAATACATATATATACGTATATGTGACACCAAAGTGGATGATCGATTTTGATTTTGATGATTTTTGTTTTTGTAATCATTGATTTTTTTTAAATTTCAATTTTAAAATCTAATAAATGAATAAACAAAATTGTCATTGAAATTCAATTTACAAATTATTTTTTTATTTCTTGTTTCGTTGACAAATTCAAGAAAACAAAAATTTCGTCATTTTTTTCCATTTTATTCAAAATGCAATTATAATTTATTGTCACCACTAACACCACCATTGTAATAAATTGGATTGGGCAATTTTAGATTTAAATCAAATCCAATTTATATATATAATGTTCATGTTCGTTTATGTGAATGTGTTTATTGTATTCACACATCTACATTTGGTACACATTGGATTGTGAACTCTATCAACCCAAAATGATCTGCTAATGATCTGTTGATGATGATGATGATCATCATCATCATTATAATCGATTGGATCACTTGATTGACTTTTTTTTCGCTCAATCAATCAATTCAATCGAATGATCCATATTCAATTCAAAAAGAAAAAAAAATAATGATGTTGAAAATAACAATCATTAAATGTGTTTGCGTGTGTACTAATGCCCTTAATTCGGTTCGATCCAAATGGATCGATTTTGATTTCATTTTTTGTTTGTTTGTTTGAAATTTGTATTTCGTATGTTTGCAAAAAGAAAAAAAAGCATCGGCAACGTATGTTTGAGTATCGCTCCAATGATCACACACAACAACCATCAACGAAATTGAAACTTTTTTTTCGAAAAGAAAAATTTCTTCGAATTTCAAGAAAAGAAATTTTTTTTTCTTCTTTTCTCTTTAAATCATTGTTTCTCTCTCTCTCCCTCTCTCACTTGCGAACACAGCAATAATTTTTTTTTTTTTTTGGTTAATTTGACGCCCATATTTTTTTCACACCTTATCCAATGTGGACTTGTGATTAAAACATGTTTAAATTTGATTTTCGTTGTTGTTGTTGTTGTGCATGCAGATAACAAGATAAGACACCATCAAGGTAATGCATGTGAGATAGAATAACCAACCAACCATTCATCAGATAGACAATATGAATCAACATCATAATCATCATACTATCATGACTGTTGTTGTTGTTTTTTTTCTTTATTTATTTTAATTTTGGATTTTTTTTACACAGTTTACGATCCTTGAATTGAATTCAAAAAGATATATATATTTGTCACCATCACAAAAAACGATTTTTGTTGTTGTTGTTGTTGTTGTTTAGTTTGGCTGTGGTCATGGTTTGTTGCTTTTATTGGACTTTGATTTTTTTTTGTTCATTTTCTACAAATTATTCATGTTGTGAAAATATTTTGAATATATCATCTTTGCATCTGAAATCATCTAGTCTTATATGAAATAAAAAATAAGAATAAAAACCAAAGAAATAGATTCATCAACGATATTCAAATTAAAAAAAAAAATATGACAATGTCACAAGCAACGACGACGACGACGACAACGACGATGAGAACTAAGAATTCATTTATTCAACTTGCATGGCAAAAATTTCGTCAACGACGTCAATGGGAACGTAGAATGATCATCATTATTGCCGGTATAATTATTCTGGCCATTTTATTGATCATCACCACTATGATATGGTTAAGAAATTCCAATAGTAAGTATTTGAAGCTGCAAAAAAAATAAACAAAACATTTGTTCACAGAAATCCAAAGAAAAGAATAGAATCCTTGAAAATGTGAAATGTTGTTCATGCACCTGAATATAAAATTTGATTCCAGGAAGGAGGTAATTATCGTATTGCCAGTGTTAATATCAGCACTACTACTGCTGTTGTTGTTGTTGTTGTCGTAAGCAATGTTGACAATAAGAAAAAATTTTTTTTTGTTCTTGTGTACCATTGAAATTGATTTCCTTCCCATTCATTTGATACGACAAAATGTTTTTTAACACTTGTATTTCCGCAATTCCCGTTTTTGAAAAAAAAATTGAAATCGAAATCCAAATCAAATAGGAAATTGACAGTGACAGTGTCGAAATTTTACGGGATTTTTTGGATACCGTGATCATTGAAAATCAATCAATCACATTGATTAATTTCCGAACTCTTCTTGGTTGAGTTCAAATTTACCACTAATCGTATACTAATAAATTTTTTTTCGTTTTTTTTCGTTTTTGTTTTGTTTTATTTTCTTTCTTCATTTCATTGTCGTGGTTAAAAATCTGATTGGCCTCCAAAAATATTATTTCAAGATTCAAATCAACCATTGTTGAAAACAACGACAACTAATCATTTCGATACAAGCCATGCTGATAGACGAATTGATCAACTGGTTTCACATTCATCAACCAATAATGATGATCGACAATCAACCAATAATAATAATAATAATAATCGGAATCGAACATTTCATTTTAATCGATATCAAATTGATAGAGAATTTATTTCAGATTTGGATAATGGGGATAATGATGGTGGTAATGGATGATGATGATGATGATCATGATCATAGAAATAGATTATTACGTCCATTGAATCGTATTCGTAGAGAAACAAATAAACGTCGTCATCATCATCGAAACGAGAAACCAACAATCATAACATTTGATGTTTTGGATGATACAGATTCAGGTTCATCATCATCAAGTAGTATGGATGATGATGATGATGATTTCTATAATGATGATGATAATGATAATCCAGAAGAATATGAAGTAGCCTATAAAGAACCATCGATTCCATTTTCACAACGAAGACCAGAAACAACAAGAAAAATGTCATCAATTGAAACAACACGTATACCGAATAATAAACGAGTTGATCATATCATTACACCTGCTAACAATGGTGGTGGTGGTGGTGGTGTTAGTGGCAGCCGTATCCGTAATCGTGATGAACATCGAAATTTATATAGTAAACAAGAAAGTAAAAATGTTGAAAAATATGATATTTTAGGTAGTGGAAATTTTGAAATTATTCGTGGTGGAATACTTGATAAACATCCATCAGATAATTTGAATAAATTACGTAATTCACGTAAAAAATCATCAAGTCGTCATCATAATAATAGTAATCGTAATCAACAACGTAATCAATTATTTGAACCAAATAATCATCATAATAATGATCATCGTCAACATTATTCAGAAGATGATAATGGTGTCGAAAATAATGGTGCTGGTGGTGGAAATGGTGATGATGATGATGGATTAAATCCATCGAATAATGATGGTCCATCATCAAATCAATCATCAACAGATGAACCAGAACCATTTGAACCATTTAATTTTGATCTATTTGCAAATGATCCAATTCTACAAGGTCTTCAAGGTTATGATAATTTTGCATAATCCAGATTATTATTATTATTATTTTTTTTGAAAAGAAAATTAATTAATTTTTTGTGTGTGTATGTGTGTGCGGGTGCTACTGTGCCGAAAAGTGTCTGTTTTTATTGTTTTTTTTTTCATTGTGGTCCACGAATTTGATCGATATTTTGCAATAGATTTTTCACATCTTTGTACATATAATGTTACGATTTGTCCTCGATTTTTTTTATTGGTTATTTTGTTTTTGTTTTTTTCTTAAATTTTTTTTATTGTTTCTCATTGTTTTTTTCCATTACAATTTTTTGGAATGTGAATAAATTAAATTAAGAAAAAAAAATTTTAAAAATTCAAATTTCAAAATGACATGTCATATATGATGGGAACCACTTGTTGCCGAAATCAATCAATTTGGCTGAAGCCGGCGTTTTATAAACAACAAATTGTGTTCGATTTTTTCAATTCAATTTTGCTGATTTTTTCTTTCTTTGATTCCAAAATGTCTTGTCATTTTTGGTTGTCATCCATATGGATTTTGTTGTTACAATTATCTAGCGAATGTTATGGCGATGAACAGATTTGGACTCCAAATTCTGTCAATAATGACATTCCGATGAAAACTCAACAGAATGCTCGAATTTATAGTCAATACGATTCGACAGCTTTTCCCGATGAACCATTACAGATTGTTCGTCCTGATGAAACGCATAAAAATCTTGTAATTGTCGAAGAAAATATCAAGGTTTGATTTACATTAAATTATTATGCGATTAAATTGTATTTTTCTATTTGCATTGCATAGTTTCTACATTCAATCAGAGAACCCGTAAGCATAATATCGGTGGTGGGAAAATTTCATTCTGGTAAATCCTACCTTATGAATCAATTGATGAGTAAATCGAAAGGATTTGGAATCGGTTCCAAAGTGACACCAGAAACGATGGGCATTTGGTTATGGGGAAAGGTAGGATTCATTGTTATTCAATGAAATTAATTCAGTTTTTCTTTTTTCTCTAAATAGCCAATCAAATTCGGTACAAGTGGGCAAGAAAATCATTGGACATTGATGCTTGATACCGAAGGTTTTGCTGCCACAAACATATCGGAAAATTATGATGCCAAAATATTTGCCGTTTCAACATTGCTCAGTTCAACATTATTGTATAATTCAGTGAAAATAATTGATCAATCAGATATTGATTATCTTGAACTACTTGCAAGACGTACACAATTATTTGCATTGAAAGCAGTAATGGCACCACGAACAAATTTATCCATCCATGATTTCCGAGAACCCAAAAATTCGATAATCGAATTGGATTCACAAATACTACAATTTCCATCATTAATCTGGGTTATACAAGATTTTGTTCAAGATGTACAGGGTGAAAAAAATTGTAAAAATTGGCTCATGAAATTATTGTCTACACATACACGTGAAACAGAATCATATTCAATTTCGTTGAAAGATATATTTCCATCGGTTGATTGTCATACATTATTCATTCCAAGTGCAAATAAATATCATTTAGCTGATCTTTCACGTGCTGATGAACAGGACCTGCTTTCGGATTATCGTAAAGAACGTGATGAACTTATTGTCAAATTAAGCCATATGATACGACCAAAATATCGTGATTCAATCCCAATGACCGGTACAGAATTGGTGCATATATTCCGTGTACTTGTCAATGCAGCCAATTCAGGATCATTGACCGAAATACCTAATCGTTGGGATACATTTCTTGATCGTTTGAAACAATCCTCGATTGAAGAATGTTTTAAATTCTATGCAACTTATATGAATAATTTACTTGTTGAACAAGCCCGAAATGAACCGATTTCAATGAGCTTTCTTCATGAATGGCATGAAACAGCGTTACAAAAATCGACTACATTATTACAAAATCTTCTTCAAGGCCTCGAAAGTCATCTGCAAGTATCACAACAACAGCTTGTTGATCAGATTCGTAATTCTTACATACTAATCAAAACGGTTAATAAGCAAAAAATTCAGATGAGAATTTTTGCCATTCGAAAAAAACTTGAAACTGATATTTCAAATAAATTTTTTTCATTCAAATTTCCAGTCTTAAGCGAAGAAATCAAAAACTTTGCCGAAATACTTAAACCAAATATTTCTGATCAATTCTATCAAGAGATGCAAAATTTAATGCCCAAAGATGAAATGGCTGAGGATATGGAATTCTTGGATCGTTTCATTGATCTGACAGCTGGTTCTGCCATTCTGGAAAATAATAAACATTTGGATAGATATTTTGATGAAAATATTAAATCATCACTAGAGGATGGATTCTCTAAACTTCAAATCAATACTATTCGACCGAAATTATATCCGAAATTTATTGTTTATCTCGATGAATTGGAAAATAATACCAAAGAAATGTATGAAAATCGTGTACAACATTTTGCTGTAGAAACAGTTATTTATAATTCCAAAATTTATAAATTGAACAATTTGTTACATGAAAAGAAACGTCTCATACTACAAGATCAAGAACTTGCCGTAGGTGAATTTCTACGCAATGAAACTTATTTATGTGCTACCGAATTCAGTGGTCGTATCTCAAATGAACGGCTCAAATATCCAATTGATTTTGATCGTTTTGACCAAATTATTGCTCAAGAATCGAATCGTATCGATGCTAATTGTATTCAACCATTGAATGCTTATTCTGATTATAAAATTCACAAAACAGTCATAGATGAATTGATTGAAAATCTAAAACAAATAACAAAAAAACGTTTGAAACAAAATCTTGATGCATTTAAACAAGAAGTGGAAGCACCATTAAATACTGCCAAACAAATAATTATATCATCAAAGGATTTACATTCGACATTTTTTCGTTTTAAAAAATATGTAAGTTTTTCATTAATAATTCAGTGAATTAATTTCATTCAATTTAATTCAATTTTCTCATTTGTTATTACAGGTAAATGATGTTTGTATCATTCACTTAGATCAAGGACTTGCACATGAATGGTCATTAAAATTGAAAAATAAAGTGATTGATTCATTCATTAAAGAAGATCCAGAACTTTTTGCTCTTCTCGAATCAAAACAGACATTATGGTCGACAATTGTTGGATTTTTTCAATGGTTACTCAGCTTTATTGGATATTAATTTTGGCCATATATATGATGATGCAATACACAATACAACCGAATATGATACCTTTGATTCATTCATTCATACATACAATTAATTCTTTTTTTTTTAGTGTGATCCTAACCTAACGATATTATTATCAATTTGAATTATTTAACAGATTTAGGTGTGTATGTTTTGTAATAATGCATGTAAAATAAGTTTATGATGTTAACCAAATTTTTTTTTCTTTCATTTAAAATTAAAAGATGTGTTCAATTTTTTTTTCTCTTACTGAATCATATATGTATGCAATACTTTTCATAATCATCATCATCATCATAATCGATTCTATGTGTTACAGAATCATTTTGCAACAACAAAATTGATAAGATTTTATCCGCACTACCAAACACCTACAATAGATAAATCCATTGTGTGTGTGTGTTTATTTTTTTATTTTTTTTTTTGTAAAATTCGTGAGCGATGGCAATTAACCATTTAACAAAACAGTGTGTTAGGTGTTTATTATTTTGCATATTATTCAGCACTGAAATTCTCTCTGTGTTTTGTGTGTATCATCACGATTGGCCTAATATTGATGATGATGATGATGAAAAATTGAATGGAGAACAAAAAAAATAAACAGAATTCAGAATCAGAATAACCGGAATATATGTATTCAATGCAGGTGAGATTGTTTCCCTTACCATCATCAATACCACCCCCGCTATACTATAGTTTCAATTTGTTCAATTCTCTTAACCAAGTTTATATATTATTATTAATATGATCATCCCAAAATAAAGGGTGTGGTTGTTTTTTCTATTTTTTTTTTCTTTCTCTCACTCAGTATGTAGATCACACTATAGACTTTTATTTTAATCATTTTGAATCAAGTTTTAGCTCAATTTCATAAACTATGACGATGATGATGATCATCATCATCATTTCAGATTATTATTACAAACACATATTATACATACAAGTTGATATCATCGATTTCATTCATATATTGGGACATTTATATTTTTTTCTACTCTTTCGGTGAAAAAAAAAAAAATTATTTTCCTGCTGACCGAAAGTGTCAACGAACCATTATATAATAGTAATTTTTTTCCACATTCCATCACCATTGAAGACAACCCGAATATCTTTTATTCTTTCCATCACTATTATCATCCACCACTATATTTGACAAAATTATTTGAAACCAGAATTTTTTTTTATTAAAAAAAAAAAAAATTTTCACGCCACATCTTTCATCCAATGATGATTGGGCGTTGTCAGGATTGTTGCAATAAAAAAAAGAAAAAATAATATCCGGATTCAAGAAATTTTTTTTTTTCGTTGAACCAAATAACCTAAGATATAGTCAAAACCACATATATATGAAAAAAAATGGTAGACAAACAAAAAAGAAAAAAATACATATTTTTTTTTGGCTTGTTCATTTGACAAGATTGACAAGATTTTTTTTTGCGAAAAAAAATCTGCGTATACGCCCATCCAGAATACACACACACACATGTAATGTGATTTTTGACATTCGACCACCACTAGACAAGAATGACTAATGTGTGCGACGAATAGTGAAAAAAAAAAAGAAAAATTCGTTTGGTTTAGCGGTTACCGCCTTTTTTTCCTATGTCGGTTTTATCATCATCAGATATCAGAATATATTCCTGTTCTATATATCCGATATCATTTGTAATGGCAATGGTGGTGGTGATGATTTAACCGCTGAATTTCAATTGGATTGCCCGGCGATTCATTTTGATTCGGTTGATTGATCCGATTGCACCGTTATTGCAATACCAATATTGATTTTTATCAATTTTCAAAATTTATTGGATTTCAACATATAAAAACCTCGAACTTGAGCGGAGATGAATGAATAAAAACGAGTGATTAAAAAAAAAAAAATTTTTTCCATCCCATTTCACATGAAAACATGAATGAACAACGAAATTTCCATCATTTGATTTTAATGTCCATTTGGTTGGTCATTGTAACAACAATTTTTGGCCAACCACCAGAATATTCTACATTGTCATCATTATTAATGGTGGATAATTCAACATTTCTAGATCCAATCATTGTGACATTATCATCGGCCAATGATTCTAAATGGACTGAAAATTGTCCCTGTCGACAATGTCGTTATGATGAACATGGTAATCGTGAAATAATCTGCGATACAGGTGGTATTGTTGACATTCCATTCGATAGAATTTCATCATTGGTTGATGTGATTGAAATTAGTGCACCGAATGATAAACCAAATAATCTGACACTTGGTCCATTGTTTTATCGATTTCCGCGGTTGAAAAAATTACGAATAACCAAAAGTCGTATACCGGCAATCGGTTCGACTACGTTTCGTTATCGTACATCATTACAAACATTGGATCTAAGCCAAAATCGTATTGAACATCTTATTGATTCAAATTTTCGTGGATTAAGTCAATTAGAAACATTAAATCTAAGCCATAATTTATTGTCCGGTAAGATTGTTTTCAATTTATAAAATTTATAAAAATTTATTATTTTTTTATATTCAACCAAAACAAAAAAAAATTTCATCTATAGAATTAGCTTCAGGAACATTTCAACAATTATATCGGCTAAAACATTTGAGTTTATCACATAATCGTATGGAAACGATTACCACACGATTATTCTATAATCTATCCAGTTTAACTACATTGGATCTAAGTCACAATCCGATTGGTGAAATTGCACCGAAAAATATGATCGATTTAAGGCCATTACAACATTTATCATTACGTAATTGTCAATTAAAACAAATTCATTCATTATTCTATCAGAATTTACCAAATCTTAAAGTATTGGATCTACGTGATAATCATCTGAAAATAGTGCATACATTTGAATTCAGTTCCTTACATCAATTGATCAATTTATATTTGGATTATAATCATCTTAATCAGATTGATTCATATGCATTTGTTGGTCTTAATCTTCATCGTTTGACCATATCAAATAATTATCTAATTGAATTGGTGGAACAAACATTTGCCAATTGTACGATTATTGAATTGGATTTATCGGCAAATAATTTTACAATGTTTGATTCAAAAATTTTTGAACCATTAAATAATGAACTACGTAAATTATCATTGAACAATATAACCACATTGAAAGAACCATCGGCATCAGTATCAAAATTATTATCACCACTACGTCAATTAGAACATGTTGAGCTATCATATTTACGTCTGGATTCAAGTGGTTTAACGCCAGATCTTTTTGCACAGAATCGACAAACATTACGTTTTGTTAATCTAAGCCATAATTCATTTGTCAACATTAGTATCCGTCTATTGGATGAATTGTATCAGATTGAAGTGTTAGATTTATCACACAATTCATTATATGAGCTTAGCTCTGAATTCCTATACATATTGAATCAATATCGAAATTTATCATTGATTTTTTTCGATCAAAATCCATGGTCATGTTATCGTTGTCATTTGTTATATTTTCGTAATTGGATTACAGCACCATCTACTTATCAACCAAAACGTAACGTGGCTGTAGAAAATCTAAAATTCAATAATAATAGCAACAATACAATAATGATGACCAATGATGGTTTGATGTTTGATGAAAATTTTCGTTCACCAATTTTATTAAATCCATATCAGAAATCATGTCAAATCTATGATCGTTGTGCCATCTGTCGTTATCCACCGAATCTAGATGGTATTCGTGTTGATCTTTTGGAAGATTGGAAATTAGTAAGTGTGATGATCGATATTTTTAGATGAATTATTCTATTTTTGATTTTTTTTTTTTTTTGATAGGAATGGTGTACAGATCCAACTGTACAGTTACGTGTATCAACAACTGAACCAAATGTTGGCCTTGTATTGGCATTATTGATCATCATTATATTGATAATTGTAATAGTTGGTGTGATTGTTTATTATAGAAATCGTGGTGCCATTTATTTCACAAATGAAGAGCTATTATATGGCCGTACATCAGGTTATGATGATGGAACAACAACTGGTCCCGGTATTGGTGGTGGTGGTGGCGGTGTTGGCGGTATTATGCATCATCCACATCATAAATCATCCGTATATAATATATCGAATGCTATAAGATATTTTGCTGATGCAACAGCATCGCCACCTGATTCAATGTCGGTAACATCGATGGATTCATTATATCATCCAAATTCTACACATCATTCTTATCATCATAATCATCATTATCAACATCGTAATTCTTTACATCAACATCCACATCAACAACAACAACAACAACAACAACGATCAATAACAACAATTGTTGATCATAAACCTGTGAATGGACAATTGTATGCACAGGTAAATCGTCCATCTCATAATGAACGTCAAGCAAGCTATGAAAGTTCAACAACACCAAGAGTAAAAACCAGTGGACAATTAAATCGGCTTACATCGGATGCATCTGCCGGTTCGATTGCAACATTACGTCGTGAACGATTAGCAAGTGGTAATCAAACATCCATCACAAATCAAATGGCTAAAAGTCGTTCTGCATCTATGTTACGGCAACAACGATCACAATCAAGTAATCAATCGATGGAAGAACCATTGATTGAATCCACATCAACATCGACATTGAAACGTGGTGGTGGAAAAAAAGTGATCATGTTGAATAGTCAACCAACGATCGAACTTTCTGAACCATCATCATTATCGATGAATAGTAAAAAAACCAAATCGATACCATCAAAACCATCGACAACATCATCGGCAAGTAAATCTAAATCATTATCACTATCATCGAATCAATCAAGTTTTGCTGGTGGTGGTGATGGTAGTAAAGATTCCAATGAACCGAAATCATCAACAAGAAAAAAACGTTCAGCTATCGTTACAAGTAAATCAACACCATTAACACCACCACCGCCACCACCACCTACATCTACATCATCTTCTTCCTCCTCAACGTCTTCATCATCATCATCATCATCTCAAAGTTCATCATCTTCAACATCTAAATCAGGTCATCATCATGATCAAGATTCAGACAATGATGGTGATCATGGTAAGAGTGGCCGCCATGATTCGGATGATGGTGATGATTTACCACAAACATTATGTCCATATGAAGAAGTTGAACATGATTCCAATGATGATGATGATAATGATGATGATGATGATGCTAATTCTGATTCACGTGAACCATCACCATCCGGTTCTATTGATATATCACCACCAACAGAATTGCCAGCCATGTCACAACAACGTAATAATCGTCATCAATCAAATAATAATAAAACACCACCAACATTACAACAAGAAACGAATGAAAATTGTTCATCATTAGAATCACTTACAACAGCTGCATTAGCTGAAAATGGTGCCGGTGATACACATTCACAATGTTCATCTGCTGGCAGTATTGGACATAGTTCATTAGAATTGGGAGCTAAATCTGATTGAATGATCAAAAAATAACTCCCATCTTTTGAATTACACAAACTCGCACACACACACACACACGCATACATGCAAACACGTGTTTTTGTTTTGAAAATAAAAACTCATTATACACCAAGATTAAGTGTGTTATGATAATAAAACAATAATAAAAATGATTATGATTATTATTATTAACCAAACTGAAATGGCAATTTTTTTTTTGATCCATAGTAAAGATATTTTGAATAATTGAATTTTGTTTCGTTTTCCAATCACAAGATGCCGCTATGTGATGGTTTTTTTGTGTAACATACATTTAACTTGTTTGATGATGATGATGGATTACGTTTACGAAATTCTTCCATTATTTTTTGCATAATTAAATAGATGAATGGTGATAACGTCATGATACTGAATATGACCATTATACTTATCCAAAAACTTTCTATTATAATGAATATGAAGAGGAGATTTGATAAATGTGCAAAAAAAAGAGAGACAGTACTCACTTCTTGGATCAATACGTTGTGGACATTTGCCATCAAGAACTTTAATCATTTTAATAGCAAAATATGCACCTGTATTTAATTTCAAAATGTTTTCTATATTTTCCGTAGATTTTTGTCGATAAATTTGACCATTAATGGTCAATAATGGTCTATCAATATACGATTGATGTGTTAAATCAAATTGCATGAACATTTGTAGCCAACCATTTGAATCAATATATTCAAAAGTAATATTTGGATTTATATTGATACGTTCATCAGTGAATGTTGCATTAATTAAACAATGATAACCATTAAAGTTACATTGATTTGATTGAATATAATCAAAATGAAGACAAAATACATTGGCATTAGCATTCAATCCATTATTTACATATTGTGGCCAATAAAGACGATATTGAGCTTGTTCATCTTCAAGAAATAATACATATTCAATAAGATTATCTGGATCATGAGACATAACATCTATTAGATCATCAGTTTTATGTATAATCCAACGATTCATTGGTATTGATTGGCCACAAGAACCGTTTGTTGATGATGGTGAAAATTGTAAACATTCAAATAAAATATTCGTATTTGTTGCCATTGTTGATGATGAGAATGATGATGATGATGAGATTTGATGAATCAACAACAAATCAACCATAGATATAATTAATAATAATGATGATAATGATGTAATAGTCATCATCGACATCGACATCATCATCATCATCATCATTACAATCAATAATCGAAAAATCAATTCCCAAGGGAAAAAATAAGTAAACGATATTTTCAACAACAAAATAAAAATAACCAACGTACGTTATGAGAATGTTTATGGAGAAAAAAAATCAGATGATACATACACACACACACAGACACAGACACACACACCTGTATATATAAAAAAATCGGAAATTCAATTTCAACTGATTAATAATAATGATTTTTGATCTTTAAACATATATCACCAAATTGTGAAAATCAAAAAAAAAAAAAAACATAGACATAGACACATAATGATTATTATTATTGTGTTTTTTTTTTTTTTTTTGTTTGTTTGTCGTTACCAGCGTTACTATCCTATTATTGATCCAAACCAAATCATCATCATCATCATTAATGAAATGCCATTGATGTGTGGCTAACCATATTGCCGCATCGTGATTGTTGATGTTGTTTGCAATCAAACTACATAGACAAACATTTCCTATGACAATATATATATTGATATTGATATCTGATCTGTTTCATCTATCTTTGTTTGTATGTCTTGTGTAATAATTATCTGATGATTATTAGTAAATTTGATAATGAAATGGCCATCATTAATGATTATATTTGTTTTGCAGTTGTAAAAGTCTGTTTGTGTGTAACTCCCATTCAAATGGTTTTTTTTTTTTTTTGGTTATGAATACAAATTCTAGCCATTCAGAATATTATATTGTGAATGAATAATAAAAAAAAGAAAAACTAATGTTTCATTCTTCAATTTAATCAATGAAACTTTTTCTGTGATTTTAAGAGTTCATCAACTTGTTGTTTTGATTATCAATGTTGTTGTTGTTTTTTTTTTTTTTTGTTTATCATCTATACGCACATTTATGATAAAACCAAACAAAAAAAAAAATAATTTACAAATTGATTCATTATGATGATGATGCTTTATTTCATAAATTCATCATCGATTTTGAAACTTTTTTTTGGTTTTGTTTTGTTTTGTTTTGTTTTCATCGATCATTCTTCTTTGCATGTATATGGAAATTTATGGACCATAATGGATAATAAGATTGAGCCAAGAAAAGTGAGAAAGAAAGAAAGAAAAAAAGGAAAAAAAATCAACAACAGCAGAAAAAAAAGTTTAGCTTATTGAAAACTAGAAATAAAAACTTCGTAAACACATCATAAATGTGAATATTTGTGAAAAAGGGAAGGAAATAAGCACACACACACACACACACACACATGGATAATACATTTTTGTTTTGGACTTTGAACAAATAAAACAAACATTGAGAACAAAAACAACAACAACAACAACAAAAATGAAGAGAAAAATTTTTTTTCTCTTCATTTTTTGTAAAGATGCTGAGAAAAAAAAAACACAACTACACTATTACTACTATACTATAGTCTTGTTCTTGTAACTCGGTTATATATATTTCATTATTATTATTATTCGAAGTTGTTGAGTACATGGTTTGGTTTTCACTCGAACAAGCTTTTAAACGTCGATTCGTATGTAGTTTTTGTTTTTGTTTTAATTTGGATTTAGTCATTCATTCAAAATGCCTACAACAAGCACATATGTGTTTTTATATATTGTCAAAAAAAAAAGTCACGCCTTATGGGTTGTAACTTTACTTTGTATAATAATCATCATCATCATTTATATTCGATTCATTCATTCATTCATACTGTGTGTGTGTGTGTGTACACTGTTGTTGTTGTTGTTCAATGATTTTTTTTTTGTTTCATCGATAAACCAATCCGATAGTTTTTATACATTTATAAACTCCGCCTTTTAATTCATAGGCTATATTGTTGGAAAAAAAGACCAATTTTTCACTCTTTGATTCAAAGTTTTTTTCGGTTTGGTTTCTAGGTTTTTTTTGTGTGTGTGTGTGCGTTTGAAACGGGAAAAATGAACATTGGAATTCATTTCGAAAAAAAATAGCGACAACATGACAACAACAACAACAACGATGATGATTTTTATACACATATGAAAATCAAATTGCATCAACTAATTTCATCTAACTGAATCACTGAATGAATCGTGAAAAGTTGACAAAAAAATCATCAATATTTGTAGATAGAATTGTAGAATTTCATTGCAATCATCATCATCATCATCATTGTCATCAGAAATCGGATGGTTTAAAGAAATTTAAATTAATGATCAATAATAATCATCATATAATAAAAAATAAATCACATAATTGTCATCATCAACGAACATATAATCATAGTTTGAAAAATAAAAAAATTATTAATCATAATATTAACAATATTGTAGTGAAAAATTTATCCCGAAAACGTTACAACAATAATCGTAGCCGGGTGGGTGGTGGTGGTGGTGGTGATGATGGTGTTAGTGATGATGTTTTCGTTGCTAGTGATGATGGTGTTGGCCATAGATCTGTGACTAATAATCATCATGAAAATAAATTAAACGATGAAATATTTTCAGCTTTCAATCATCATCATCATTCATTGAAAATTCCGAAAAAATTTCATCGCCATTCTACAATATCAATGTTCGTTGATGATAATGATGATGGCCATCATAAAGATGAATTTTTAAAAAATTTTAATAAATATCCTAAAACAACAATGACATTGACCAATCATGAACCATCATCATCATTGATGGATATCAATGGACCAATATTAGAAACACCACAGCATTCTCATAATCATCATCATCATCCTCATCATCATCATCATCAGCAGCAGCAGCAACAGCAGCATCAATCACTAAATTTTAACAATCATTCTACTGATGTTGCTGATGTAAATCATTTTATTGCAAATAATAGTAGTAATCATCAACAACAACAATATACACCTGCTATTCACTATCCAGGTGGTAATGATCTTATAGCTGCCACTCCTATGTCATCATCTTACTATCATCATAATGTTCTTTATGGTTCAATACAGCCTCATCATCATCAACAACAACAATTACAACCACATACATTATCACCATTATTGCCAATAGCAGATGATGTCGATATGTTCGATCATCATCATCATCATCATAATCGACATACAGAATTGTTATCAAATCATCATCAACAACAACAATCGATATCAATATCATTAAATGAGCAGCAATCATCCAAATATAATGATAATCATCATCATAATCAAACGAATAATATGATAGGCTCACCAATGGTTTCTACATCCGGTGAATTAATTCATTCACAGAATTTTAATCATCATAACCATCATCATCATCATCACCAGAATCATATTCATCATCAACAACAACAGCAATCAACAGTGATGACTATAACACCACCACCATCGGTATTAGCTACCGATATGATTAATAATGGTATCGGTAATGGTGGTGGTGGTGGTGGTGTCTTACCATCTTCACCACCACCATCATCGTCATCATCATCAACAACATCAACATTATTACGCACAACAACAACAACAACAACAGCGACAATGATGAAAAATTCTTCAACATTATTATTGTCAACATCATCATCATATTCACCATCTACAACTATTGATACATCACCAATCGGTAATAATAATAATAATAATCATCATCATCATCATCATCATCATAATACAACATTTATGAATGGAACAATAATAAATTCTACAATTGGAATGATGAACGATTCAACATCAACAACTGCAACACCAACAACAACGTTTGATAAGGTTCGTACGTGTTTGCACGAATACAAAAACAACATTCACACAAACTATTGATACATTCTGTGTGTGTATGTGATGTTTTTGTGTCCTTCAATTTATCCCCATTTGTCCTACACGCACAACATACACCAAATAGAATGAAAGCTTTAGGGCAGAGAAAAAGAATTTCAGAATCTTTTTATTTTCACAATTGAAAATAATTGAATTTGTTACAATCGAAGAATTTTTTTTTTTTTTTTGTTGCTGTCGTCGTCATCATCATCATCATCATCATTGTGTTCACTATTGTCGTCAATGTTGATGTTGATGTAGAAAATGTAAAGTGTGAAAGTGTGAAAAATACAAATACCCGTTTTCTCTTTTTTCACGTTTTTTTTTGTTTCGTTGGCTTTTGCTGGTTGATGGATATCACGCGCGATCCAAAAAAAAAAAATATTCGTCAATTTGTTTGTTCATAGAAACATTGGATTCTCTCTAGAGATTTATTTCATTCGTTCATTCTTTCTCAATTCATTTGTCCGGGATTTATACATACGGGACATTAATTTATCGCCGTTGATGATCGTTGTGTGTGTGTGTGTGTGTGTGTGTGTGGCCTGAAAGTTATAGCCATAACTATATTCTGTTGATTATCCGTTCAATTGATTATTCTGGTTGTTTAATTCCGTTGGATCTCGAAATAATAATAAATCCAATTATTGAAATTCAAAAGAATGAGAAAAAAAATTCATCAATACCACTTTTAGCACTGTAAAAAAATCATATTTTTGAATTTCAGAAAAAAATGGAAAATTTTCCAGAAAAAAAATTTTCGAAAAAATTTTTCACAATGATGAAAACGAAAAAAAAAGAACAAAACAAAAAAACGCTGTTGGTGGTATATATTGTCATCACTTGGATGGCGCAAAAAAAAAATAATCGGGAAAAATGATTCGATTTCCAGTTTTGTTCGGACTTACAAACAGAAATTTATTTTTTTTTTTTGCATGTTACAAAACATTACGGTCAAATTTTATTTGATTTTATTTTGCTGGTCTCTATTTGATTGTTCATTTGTTGTTCTCACATGAATGAATGATTTTTTTTTTTTTTGAATGGAAAATCATTGCCCTAAAAATCACTTTTTTTTCGCTTGAAAATATCCAAAAAAAACCAGCATACAATCCAAATCCAATGTGTCCAATGGTTCCATTGTGTGTGTGTGTGTGTGTATCTACCGTGGTTGTTGTTGATTTTGTTTGATTGTCATCCCATCATTCATTCAAGTGGTCTGGATTTTTTTTTCTCTCTTTCTCTCTCTCTCTTTCTTTCTTTTCACTGAAAGTCAATTGATCAAAAAAAAAAAAAAAATAAAAGAAAAGAAAAGAAAATGTTGCAAAAATTTTACAATAGTGAAAATAATAACGACCAATATATACATTCAAACGGAACTAAAAACCACACATTATAAATAATAGGATAACAAAAAAAAGGGCCCTATGTGAACAACAACAACAACAACAACAACGACGACAACAACAAAACATACAAAAATCACAATGTTATTCGCAATCTCATTGTTGTTCTGTTCTCATAAAATGTATGATTTGTTCAGGTGATGAACAAATCTACTCAAATGAAAATTATATATCGATTGATGATGATGATGATGATGACGATGATGATGATGATGGAAAATTTGATTATTATCAACACAAAGGGAGCTATAAATTTGAATATTTCATTTTTTCATGAACACGTGGTTGGTGTTTTTCTACTCTACTCTATTCTTTCAAATGTATCAATTTTTTTGTTCAAGTATTCTACGTGTTTATTACATTTGATTTCATTTTCACGTTTTTTTTTTTTTTTTTTTGGTTTCCATGAAATTCCTGGCGAATAAAAAAAACATTTTTTCAAATTCAATTTTCTTCCTATTTGAAATAAACAAACGACACACACACACACAAAAAAAATCATTCAAAAACCATATCATAGGCAACGAAAATATTCATTTCGATTTTATTTTCGATCGAAACTTCTCGATCCACAAAACATCCGTTATCATATCTATCGATATAAAGTCAATCGATCAAAACATATAAGTGAAATGAAAAATAAACCACTAAAAAGATAAAACATCAGTCCATTATTATCGCAGCCACCACCACCACCACCATTGTCATATTTTTTGTGTGTGTGTGTGTGTCTCACTCACTCACCGATGATTGTTTTGTAATGTCTATATGGAACCATAGGGTCTCTGTGTTGTTTTACTGTGAAAAATAAAAATTATCATTGTATATATGACAACCGGCGTCGAATTTGTATGGAAAACAGCCAGAAACATTTTCATTTTCAATCAAACTTTTCAACTAAAACATTTATTTGAATCTTTGATTCATTCATTCAACAGTTTTTTTTTGTTGTTGTTGTTGTTGTTGTTGTTGTCGGTTGTTGGTTGCTCGTTTTTCATGAGTGTGACAAAAAAAACAAACAACAAAAACCTATGGCCCTATGACTAGGTTGCTGTTGTTGTTGTTGTTGTTATTGGTTTGATAGCAGAGAAAAATCGTCTCACTTGAAATTTACCACTCAACATTTTTTATATATATAAATATTAAAAAGCAAGAAAGAAAAAAAACTGTGACAATGACAAACAATAACAACAAATTGACTTCTAAGGGCACTCGATTTTTTATTTTACATATCTAATATAATAGTGGATCGATCAGAAAAACCCGACCACATCCATACAATCGAGACAATACACATTTTGGTGTCGAAATAATGTTGTTCTCCACCGAATTGAACAACAATAACAACAACAACAATAATAATAATAATAATAATAATGTCCATATCCTCCTATTTTTATGAAATCTTTGTATGGATATCCTATTTTGATGCAATACAAACAGGAGACCTGTATAGAGAAAAAAATGATCCATAAAAAAAATCATACCGAGACCAAAGAGAGACTGAAAGTTTTAAGTGACAAAGTGACAACATACAAAAAAAAGAAAGAAAGAAAGAAAAACTGTGAATCAAATTCAATTCAATTGATCAATAATAATAGACCCACACACACACACACACACACACACACGAACTAGTACTCGAAAAAAATAGGCATAGATATGGGTATATTGTGGTGAAAATTTTATTGATACGTTTTTTCTCTCTCTCTCTCTCTCTCTCTAGTTGGTATCAACCAGAGAAATACCAAAGTTTAGGCTATATATATGGTGGAACAAAACAGAAAAAAAAATTGAAGTATACCTAGGTAAAAATCGAACGTTCCTATGCTGGTTTTATTGATGATGATGATGATGATGATATCCACAAAACTACCAATAGCACACACGAATTGATAGAAACAAAACAAAAAAAAAAAAAGAAAACATAGACCTAGAACAATAAAAAATGAATATATATAAATAAAAAATAATCGTCACCGTCTGTCTGTGGGCCATTCAAGAATTATTTTTGTTGTTATTTTTTTTTTATTTTCGTTTTTGTTGTTGTTGTTGTTGTTTTGTATTTCGGATATTTATGACTTTGTGACAACATTTTTCTCTCTCTCTCTCTCTTTATACTTCATATATATGTGTATCGTTTACGGTTGTTGTTGTTGTTGTTGATTTTTTTTTTTTTTTTTCATTTATCTTTTTTTTTGTGTTTTTGTGCATATTTTTTTTGCTCTGCTTTTCTTCATTGAATCTGAGAAAGAAACAAAAAAAAAAAAAAAGAAATCAACGGAAAAAAAATTTGACAATCCGAAAAATTGTTGCCGTTTATATGATATGGTTTTTTTTTTGAATAACAGAAAAAAAAACTTTAAGTCATAGGCTAGACATGCACATGCACACCTCACACACACACACATTTTATTATTTCTGTCAATGAATGTAATGACAATTCAAATTTTTTTTTTTGTTTTATTTTATACGATGCATCATCATCGGTCAGAATGAAGAAAAAAAAATTTTTTTTTCTTTTCTTCAAGATAAAAGTTGCATTTGGTCTTTTTTTTTCTTGTTTATTCTCATTTCATTGATGATGATCATTGATGATGATGTGACGTGTTGGCACGTAGAGATTTTTGCTATTGTCGTTGTTGTTCTATTGAAAAATTACTGTTGACAAATGTGAAAAGTGAAAAAGAAATGTGTATGTGTTCGAGAGCAAAAGCAAGAGCAAGAGAGAGAGAGAGAGAGAGATACAAATTAACAGCTGAAAAAAAAGAAGTAACATGAATTGTATTGTTGTTTATGTGATGTGAGTGACCATTGGTCACTATGGAATAAATTTTTATTTTTGTAGTGATAATACAATTCCCCAGATATATAATCTGAATTAATTTTTTTTTCTCTCTCTCTCTCTCTCTCTCACTCACTCCAATCCATCAAATAAAAATAGATGATATGTTTTGGTTGCCATCAAACACTTTCAACATCACCAATCATTGCCTCTGTTTCCGGTTATCATAATTGGCATATACATTGTCTTTGGTAAGTTTTGGTTGTTGTTGTTGTTGTTGTTGCTGTTGTTGTTGTTGTCTGTTTTGGTCATCATCATGAATTTTATTTTCTTTTCGTTTTGTTTTGTTTTATTTTTTTTTTTTTTTTTTATTATTATTAGCTGTTCACAATGTGGCCAATCATTGAGCCAATCACGTTCCTGTTACATACGTAATGGTCGTATTTATTGTAAAGATGATTATTGTAAATTAATGATAAAATGTTCTAAATGTGATCGTACCATTTCGGCAAATGATTGGGTACGTCGTGCCGGTATGTTTGTATATCATCTTGCCTGTTTTGCATGTGACCTATGTCAAAGACAATTATCAACGGGTGAAAAATTTACATTGGAAAAAACAACAACAACAACAACAACAATCATCATCATCATCATCATTATTATCGCCACCAAATTCAAATTCATCGACAACAATTTCGATGGGCAATCAACAATCATCACATGGTTATCGTCTTGTATGTAAACTTCATTTTGGTATCAAAGAAGGTAGATTAAAATTTTTTTCTGTTTTATTTTTTATAATTGAATTAAATTTAAAAATGTAAAATTTTTCTGATTTAAATAGATGAATCATCATCAATAGTCAATCAAACACAAATGGATGATGATAATAATGATGATGATGATCATCATCATCATCGTCATCAACATCAACAACGACAACACCGCCAAAATCATCGTGGATCATTGATTACGATTGAAACACAATCCACTCAGCCAATATCAAATGTCAATCTTTCACAACAACAACAACAACAACAGCATCAGCAACAATCACAACAGCAACAGTCACAATCAATCAATTCATCATCACCATCATCGATAAATGGCAATACATTGATGATTGATAATAATAGTAACAAATGTACTAATAATAATGGACCAGCGATTATTAATGATTCAATAATTGTAACAACAGAAGCTACAACGCCCAAAAATACTACAAATCATCATCATCAACATCAACATCAAAGACATCAACAACAAACATTGACTACATTAACATCATCGGAATCATTGGATCTAAATACCACCAATAATAATAATAATAAAAAATGGTAATGTCCAACAACACAATCAATCAACCCCACCGTCGTCATCGTCGTCGTCGTCAAATATACATAGTAATTCTAGTCTATCATCATCATCAAGCTCTAATAATAATAATAATAATAATAATAGTAATTCAAAAACAAAACGTGTACGAACCACGTTCACTGAAGATCAATTATCCGTATTACAAGCTAATTTTCAATTAGATTCTAATCCTGATGGTCAAGATCTTGAAAGAATAGCAACATTAACTGGTCTTTCCAAACGTGTTACACAGGTTTGGTTTCAAAATTCACGTGCAAGACAAAAAAAATTCATGAATAAATCCACTTCATCAACATCATCTACACATCATTATTCTCATTCTCATCATCATCATCATCATCATCATACTTCTGTTCCTTCTCCTACACTATCTCATTCTCAGCATCATCATTCACATCCGGTGATTCAAACAGCAAATACATCACATCAACAAGAACAACAATCACTATCAAGACATGTTACTACATTTGATTCATCTATATCCGGTCCAACACAATCATTACTTATGAATGGTCAACAACCACAACAATCAACGTCCATACGGTCCGATGGCAATGGTTTATGGTCACCAGGTACAGCTACAACAACAAGTAGTACAAGTAGTCAAAATGGTATGATTGGTATATCGAATGATACACTTTCATCATCAGGTCATCATGGATCAATAGCTGATCTTATTCTAGGTGTTTCATCAACATCATCATCATCATTATCATTATCATCAACGACGACGACGACGACGACAACAACGACAACGACTGTTGATGGTTCTAAAATTACATTATGGGGCCATTCAACATCAACAGCAACAACAAAGATGACAACATCTACACCAACACCACCACTACCACCACCACTACCATTACCAATGATAACAAATGGAAATTCAATTATTACAACAGCTAGTCAATCATTACAGGTTAAAATGAATAATCATAATTCAAATCTATGTCATTCAGAATTATTGGAACAATCATCATCAAATTCAACAACATCATCATCATCATCATCATCATCATCTCCACAGCCACAAACATCGGTAACGCCCAACCATGGATCGAATAATAATAACTAAGAAAAATGATGAAAATGAATATATACATATTTTTTTTCTCTTCTTCATTTAGTCACATTATGTAACACTATAAAAAAAAACATTGATGATTGATAAAGCCAAAAGAAAGAGATGTTTTTATGGCCAATATATTAACGACGAAAAAAAAAATATAAATATATCCATCTTTCACATGCGCAATAGTAGCCAAAAACCATAATCATATCATCATCATAAGAATAAAAATGCAGCTATAGCAAAAAAAAAAATGAAATGAAATGAAAGGAATTCAAAAAATGAGCCAATGGACAATTCTTTTATCATCATCATCTAAAGCAACATTAAAACGACACAAACACACGAAAACGCCCACTTTCAAGCAAACACACACACACATACACACACGATTCTCTCTTTTTTTTTTTTGCTGGATATATATTGTATTAATTTATTTAATAATAAAAAAAAGTAAAGCAAAAAAAAATTGCATTGATTGAATTGGACATTCTGCATCAGCAGCAGCAAAAGCAACAACAGCAGCAGCAGCGACGCATCATTCAATTCATAAATTCATATCGCATATGTTTTTTTTTATTTCTGTTTGTTTGTTTTGTATTGTATTGTTTTTACATGAATGAGATAATCTTCAAATGTAGACAAAAAAAAAACAATGAGATTTGTTGTAGGTATATAATAATTCATCACAATCGGTGTTATATCTTAATCAATATAAAAACAGTGGAAAAAATTTTTTTTTTTTTATTTTCATTTTGATCCGATTACAAGTTGTAATACGTGTGTAATAATAATGGAACAAAACATAAAAGAAGAAGAAGTGGATTATTTCATGTTACCATCCTCGGGACATATGTATTACAGTTTCACATAAAGTGTTTATTTGTGTGTGTGTGTGTGTGTGTGTATGTAAAAAATCCAAACGACAAACAAACAACCAAACACAAAATTAAATGAACAGAAAAAAAGGCGTTACATACGAGCATGATGATGATGATGATGATGATGAGTGAAAATTTGATTATAAATCATCAATCAAACAAAATGATGAATTGAATTGATTACCATTCGGATTTTGTTTGATCGATATTTTTAAATATTTTTTTTTTTTGCTTGTTTACAAGATTGGTAGTATTACACACACAGTTGAAAAATATGTAAATATACTACGGATATATTCGGTACAATTCTGTATTATCGCTATATATATATGATATAAAAAAAAATAGAATGCCCAAAAGAGAATGATATATAATTAAATTATTTCGACAATCTCTCTATATTACATGAATTCATATATATAAAACTAAAACATCAAGCGATACACAATACATACATAACCAAAGAATTAGAATCTGAATTTTTCTATTTCATGTAAAAAAGTCTATTGAGGCGAAAAATAAACTTGTGTTGAATTTTCTCTCTTTCTCTATTTTTTCTTCAATAGCCATTGTATGTAGTACAATATTTAGAATAATGAATGAATGAACAAGATTTACATAAGAGATTATCAAATTAAAATGAATTCTGGTAAATTAAATTATTACCAATGTTTAAAAAGTTTTCTTTCATTCCAACAGAATTTTTTTTTCTGTAAATCAAATGATGAGATTTCAATATGGATGAAAAGTTTTTTTCCACTGAAAAGGGTGAAATAACGATAATTTTCAATGAATTTCAAATTCCATTTGTATCCATCGATGGATTGTCATTTGTCATTGAATTCTTGACAAATAAACAAACTGAGAGAGTCAGAGAAAAAAATCACGACAACGAAGAAAAAAAATGAAGAAAATATTATGTATATCGTAGAATTGTAGAATTTCTTTTTTTTTTTCGTTGTTGTTCATTCAATTTTCATTTGTTCATTACAAGATTCATATATATATATAGACACACGAATACAGAATATCAGAAATATCAATTGCCACCCTGGCCATTTCAGTAACAACGATAAAAAGAAAAAAAAATTATTCAGTTTGTGTGTTGTGTGGGAGCAACATAATTCAATAATATTGCCGCCAGGATTGAATTATTATGTTGTTATATATCTTGTTTATAAATGAATACACTCTTGTTTTGGTTGATTTTTTTTCCTGTTGGTCTAGTTGGAATTCAACTTTCATTTCATTGAATGAATGCATTCATGTTTGTGTCTATGTGTGTGTGTGTGTGTGTGTGTGTGTATAGAATTTGATCATTTGAAATTTGGTACCAAAAATCATCGACTGTTGTTGTTGTTGTTGTTGTGGAAAAAATCGTGCAAATTCTGGTCGAATTTTTTCTTTACTTTGTCTTTGTCTCTTTGGGGAATTTTTTTTTATTCTTGTTTCTATACTTGAAAATGACGAAAGGGTTTCTTTAATTTTATTTCATTTTTTTTTCGCTTGGTTTAAGAATTTTTTTTTATTGAAAATTTTTTAACTTGTCTTTTTTTCTCAGTTGTTCAATGTTGTTGTTCAAACGTCGTTGTTATCATGGTTCTCTTCCTTTCTGGAACCTGGTTTCTGTATTCGGAAAAATTTTTTTTCCCTTTTTTTTCTGGAACGTGGATAGAACAAAATTCTATACTTGCCGTTACATGTGTTTGTTCATTTAAAATGTAAATTTTGTTGTTGTTGTTGTTGTTGTCAAATGTCGATGACGACGATACAACACGACGATGCTTGCATGTGTGTGTGTGTGTGTGTTTTCTCTTTTTCTCCAAGGGTTTTTTTTTTTCGTTCATGTTGGGTGTTCCTCTCCGTTTCGATGATGCGGTTTTTTTTCTGCCGCTATGATTCAATTAAAATTCATTGCACGATTTTTTTTTCTTTCATTTTTTTTTTTTGTTTCGTATGATGATGTTTGATATTATTATTTAGAAAGGTATTTTTTTTTACCAGCTAGTTATGGATAGATTGAGAATTTTTCCAGAATAAAAAAAAAATGAAAAGAATTTTTTTTATCTGTTCCTGTTTTTCTGAGAAAATTTCCAAAAAAAAAATGAAAATGAAAAAAGAAAAAATAAATCGAATCAATGCACATACACTACTAAACATACAGACAGACGTACTACACAGCATGTGGTCATCATCAAAATGAATATATTATTCGTATAAACGAACCGGAAATTCAGAATAAATCAATTATACAACTTGTATGCATGCATAAATTATTCGAATTTTAGTTCTACCATGGCCATCACATCATTTCTGACCTTTTTGTTTGTTTGTTTGTTTCACATATCTGAGCAAAGAAAAAGAAAGTGAGAGAAAAAGAAAAAAAAATTGGATTTCAGGACTCAGAATTCTGAACTAGAACTTTGAACTAGTAGATAAATATACGAAAGAATAGGTTGATTTGTTCATGGATGCGTGAAAATATTCTGACCAAATAATAAACATATATCAGAATATAACTAACAAACCAACAACGTGAACAAGAATGGAATAACATCATCAAATTCATATATTTTTGTAATACACTTCTGGATATTTTGCAAATAGAAAATTCTTAACAGCCAGGAATTACAGGAAAAGAAGAGCAAAAAAATAGGCGCGCGTGCGTTTTCTATTTTATTTTTTTTTTTTTGGTTTTGTTTTGTTTTCACTATTAGAAATGTTCAAAGTTATGAAGATTCAAGATTAGTCAAGTGTAAAATATCAGATCACATACAAATGCATGGCCATCCAACCACAAACAAACTAAACGACCAACAAACAATTCATCCATTTGTACGTGAATTGACTGTTCAAAAAAAATAGTTCGACTTCAAACAAATGATCTTTGTGTTTTTTTATTCTTCTGGAAATTTTTTGTTGTTGTTGTTGTTGTATTGATTGATATTGGTTCAAGTTTTGTTTGTGGACAAATTCAATTATTTACCTTTGGGAAAAAAAAAATTTTTTTATACTTTTTAATCCTAATGCAAGTAATTTGATTTATACGTGTTTTCAAAATATGAAAAAAAAATCCGTAGGAAAAAAAAATTTGAATTGCAACTATATCGCCATCTATTGATGGCAATACAAACTGAATTGAAAATTGATTTTTGCACTGTATTTAATCGGTTAATATTTATGATGATTACCAATGATTTCATCTTTGGAATGACCCATGATTATTTTGGGTTTTTTTTCTACCCAATCATCATTCATTCTAGTCAATGAATAGAAATTTGATGCAACTATCGATTGTCCAGAAACCAGTAAAAAAACCAGCAACTAATGAAAAAAATCATATCATAAATATATAAAAAGCCACAAGCAATTCGTCAGACACGTGTGCCACGCCTAATTGCAATATCTGGGCGCGCGCACATGTTTTTTTTCCACTGAAAAAAAACAAGTCAAAACATACTTATGAAATTTCACTCATCATCATCATCAACATTTTTCATCGATATATTATCGATGTGATAATCATCATCAATGTATTGGCTTGTTGCCATTCTCACTTGAATAGCCAAAACAAAACAAAATAAAACAAAACAAAAAATCAATCAGTCAATGGATATATTACAATCGATTAACACAGAGTAAATGATGATGGTAAAAATATATTTTTTTTTTTAAATTTGTCAAATGATTGTCAACGGTAGTGGTAATAAAAGTAGTAGTAGTAGTAGTAGTAGCAATAAAATATATTACATTTTTGAATTGCAGATGAATTTTTTCTTTTGCTACGTTCGATTCTCCAGAATAGTTCCAAAAATAGTAGCAGGATTCATGGTAGAATATTCTAATTAAAGAAAAAAAAATTCGTATTGATGTTCGGACAGATGGTCAGATTTTTTTTTTTTTTTTTTTTTTTGTTTTTTTGGTTTTTCCATTTGCGCATGTATAATGACCTGCATATGGAATCAAAATTCCTAAACGCTGATTTTGTTAGTGTTATCCTGATTTGACTGCATTTTATGGTCCACTTGTTAATTTCAAGACAGAGAAATTTGAGCATACTCACGCTTTTATCAAAGGTTTGATAAAAACTTCAAACAATTCTTTGAATGTGCCATACTCTTTGGCTAAGCGTTATCAGTTAGCTCAACCTTTCATGGCAGATTTAGAAGATAATCCCGTTGAAGGTAGGTTAGCGGCTAGCAATTATCCATTCCGATTAAACCGAAAAATTCTTCGAGGCAGAGGTGTTGAATAATGATGAGTCATTCTTAATGAAACTTAGAGATTTACTGCGTTCAAGTCAGAAATGGCACTTTTAGCTGTGGCTGAATTGTTTCGCCAATTGTCATCGAAAATCGTTTAGATAATCAGAATTGACCTAAAGAACTTTCGCATCTGAATTCATTCATTTTTGATTATAACGGTTCTAGTTTCGTTAATTATGCTACAAAAATAGTTTCGAGACGATGTCTTGACATTAAGGTTAGTTATTCATATTTTGATTCGATCTACATATTCTGGTTCGGTCTTCATTTCGGGTTTACTCTTGGCTTTTGTTCTTCACATTTAGTGTTTAGGTCCGATATGTTCTATTTAAAGTACAATTTTAAACATTATCAAATTTACATTTCCTTTATAAATAACCAAAAAAAAAAAAAAAAAAAATAAAAAGTCCGCTTTGTTGATTTCATAACGGCCCAAACTTTGGCACAGGGCACATAAGCTTGTATTGTCCTGGTTTAAAAACAGCGTCATGTGAATTTCATGTTAATTAATAAAAAAGGAGATCCGGGTTCAAAGTGGTTAGCCGGACTCGCCGACATAATGGGTCCACGATTTTCAATTATGCTTGTGACCATCAGTAAAACCTTTTGAAGTTCATTTTACGAAAACAATGGAATTTTCGTTTAATCCAGCTGAAGCAATCGACGGACTTTTCGATCTTATTGCATCACAAGAATTTGGATATGGATTTCCGATGTACGTTGTCATCATCGTTATTTATGGTGAATTTCAACATTTATAATGTCAATTGCCATGGTGGTATATCGTTTCTATCCAATATAATTCATTTTCATTTTGTTTCATTGCAAATAAAAGTTTTGTTTATTGAGATTCGTTGATTTATTTTATATTTACTTACCAAAAATAAAATAAATTGAAAGATTTCAAAATAAAAATAAAAATATTTATAAATCAAACTTAAAAAATTTCAAATCAATATGCAAAAAGTAAACACGGCATGAACGGCAGCAGGTGCTGCCGAATCCCGCGCAAGTAGTTCAAGACAAGTGATTTGACCGTTTCGTTTTCGAAGGATTCGAAATTTTGCTTGCATGCGAATTTTAATTTCGTGAATTTTGAATTCATATTCAGAAAGACTCAAATTAAATGTGAATCATGGCAATATTCATCAAATTTTCAACTGTTGAATCGGATCAATCAAACCAGTCAACCGATTTATTTCTAAAATTAAGTAAGGCGAAATTTGAATTTCCATTTTTGTTTTAATTTTCAAGGCTGGAAAGGTATTGTTTTATCATCATCTTTCCTAATAACCTCATATGGGTAGTTCCCAATTTTTGATACTGAATAATCAAAATTTATTCTAAATGACTGATCGATGATCATATCCGGGGTCACATTGGAGACTTAATTGACGACCGTTTCAATGAAACAGCGGATTAAACAAAGGCTTGAAACTTCAAATTGATTCGAATCAAAATGTGATAATCATCATCAATGTATTGGCTTCCGATTTTTGCATTTCGTTAAAAGCTTCAATCTACTCTGGGGTTGAAAAAATATGAATAGCCAAAACGAAGAAAAACTCGTGAAATAATTAAAACATTAAATAAAACAAAACAAAAAATCAATCAGTCAGTGCATTTCCATATTATTCTTCATGGATACTCGAAGATGTAAATTATCATCATATGTTTTCCAATCGATTAACACAGAGTACAAATGATGATGGTAAAATATATTCTTGACATCCCGCTTTGACTTGGCACTATTTTTTCACTTGAATTTTTTGCTTTATCGACAAATCTCTCTGTCTTGAAATTTACGTTCGATTCTCCAGAATAGTTTCCAAAAATCAGTATGCAGGATTCATGGTAGAATATTCTAATTAAAGACAATCAAAAAAAAAAAAAATTCGTATTGATGTTCGGACAGATCGATAGGTCAGATTTTTTTTTTTGTACAAAATTTTCTCTCATTTTTCGCTTGTATAGCTGTTTTTGTTTTTGGCTTGCGTTTTTCCATTTGCGCATGTATTCGTTTTTTTTTTCGTTTTTGTTTTTTCCTGGGTATTACCATCGTCGACTATTTATGATGTGATGACTAATCATGGCTTACATACACGACTGACACAATGAATCAAAATATTGCAAAAAAAAAAAAAAAATGCCGGTACCAGTTCGGTAAATATTTACATACATACAGACAGACACACACACACACACACACAGACTGCTGAAATTGAATGTAATCATTTTTTTCGTGTATCAAGGCCCAAAATTTTCAGATTTTTTTTTTTGGATGTAAAAAAAAACTTTAATATGTAGAAATTCATTTGTAATGAAAGAATTGTATCCAAGATGAACATCAACTTGTATCCATCCATCCATCCATCCAGTCAAACAACCACCAAAACTGCTAGCAATCATCATCATCATCATCATATACTGTCAATATTACCATCATCAACAACAACAACAACAACAGCCAAACCCTAAAAACTTTTTTTTTTTTTTTCTCCTCATCCATCAATGTTTTGTTGCATGTTGTATGTTGTTAATAATATAATATAACTGTATATATACCGTATATTATACTACTGTATGTCATAGTGTATAATAATATACACGTATTTTATATTGATGAAATTGTGTATGAAACACATCCATACAGCAGCATGGGCAGCATTTTTTGAATAGATATATTATTATTATTATTTATTTTTTTCTGCCTCATTATATATTATCACACATATACACCCTCGCACATAAACACAAACAGGCAGACAGACATTCACATCATCATCATCATCATCATTATTAATCATGTATTTTTTTCCGTACATGTGTTCTGGTAATGTTGTGTGTGTGTGTGTGTGTGTATGTTGAGTTTGGATCATCATCATCATGATCATTAGAAATAAAAAACCATTCGTGTATTGCTATCCATTCAACCGTTCAGAATCCTTCATCATACATCTAATTTGATTTTTTATTTGTTTTGGTTTCAAACCAAACACACACACACACACACATTCAAGAATCATCAATACAAAACAGCTGCTGCTATGTGTTTGGATTTTGGAATTGAATTCTACGATGATTCTACAATTTGAGTGATTCATCAATGAATGAATGAATGAATGAATAACAGGAAAAATCATTGCATCTAATTATACAAATAATTTTTTTTTTCTGTCGGTGTTTTTTCTTTCATTATTATTATTTTTTTTTATTGTCATTGTTGTTGTTAATAATTTCCATAGTGTCGATGTCCACTAATATAATATCATCATTCTGATTGTCTGATCTCATAATCATCATCATCGTCATCATCATTATCACTTAATTATCAATTATTAACTCAATGGTTAAAAACATCGATTAATAATAATAATAATAATAATATATACTTATTATAGGTGAAATTGAAAACCGGATCTGAATTGTTTCAATGAGAAGGAGAAAAACATCAATACACAAACATCCTTGCATTTTTGATATTAAAAAGCAACGGTAAGAAGCAAAAAAAAAATGATCATTAAATATTCAAATTTCTAATAACTTTTTTTTCATCGATTAATTTTGACAATAATTTATCATATGACATCACTTTTCAATTGTGTGTGTGTGTGTGTGTGTGTGTGTGTGTGTGAATTTTTGAATTAATTTTTAGGAATTTTTCGTTTCACTTTTTTTTTATCACAAGAAATTCCATCCATCCATGCATTTTTTTTTTCATTTCGAATTTGTCGTTTCCTATGTCGTCAACGATATTGTGACCGTGTGTGTGTGTGTGTGTGTGTGTTGTGAAAATTGTTGCTGTTGTTGTGGGTGGTTGAAATTTATTTTGTACATTCATTTCTCATATATCGTCATTGTCATTCGATATGTTGCATTATAATAATAATAATAAGTGAGATTTAAAAGTTTTATATAATTTGTTGTTTCCAATGTATTCAACGAAATAAAACAAAGAAAAAAAAATCCAATCATTACTGACGTCATGTTTTGTTTTCGATGCTGCTGCTGCTGTTGTTGTTGTCAATCATTCATTATTTAGATTTATATATTATAATTTAATGATCAAACGAAACAACAACAACAACAAAAAAAATCCAGTAAATTAATGTGATCGGTATTTTGAATATATATTACATCTCTCCATCTCCATATCTCTTTTTTGGTGTTTAATTTCATTATGGTATTTTTTTTCTATTGTACATGTTCAAATGTATTCAAATTTCATTAGATGATGATGATGATGATGAAAAGATCTTTATGACATAGTCATACTAGACAAAAAAAAACATGGTAAGCAGAATCATTTTGATTTTCAAAAAAAAAAAAAAAAATTTCAAAATAAAAAACAATACATCGAGCGACATCTTTTGCCATTGAAATGAATCTGACCATTGTTTTTGATTGAATTATTATTTTCGACCACCTGTACATACATTCATTATTTACATGCCGGTCATTTTTTCTTTTTTTGCATTTATTGTTTTTGCCAAAAAAAAAAATCTTTCATTTCCGATTAACAATACTTGTTTCAAATTAAAATGAATGAATCATCAAATGTTTATTATTTTGCATCGATTAATTAACACAGATTTCCGGCGATGATCAACTTTTTATTAATTTTTCTTCATAGATAAATGTGATGAAATAGCAAAAAAAAAAAAAAAAAAAATACAACATCTTAGTAACAATCATCAATAATTTGATGATAATAATCATCCATAATAGCTAACCAACAAAAAAAAAAAAATCTCTTTAGAAACCATGACGATGATAATCTGATGAATCAAATACAATCATTGAGATTAATTTTTTATTTTATTGTGATACAAAAATCAAAGATCTAAGGTAATATTCATCAGAATCTTCGATTACATTATATTACATTGATTTGATTGAATTATTATATATATGTGATGATGATGATGAATGAAATTTTAAACATTAACAGCACACATACCCCATATACATCAACCATCCATTTTTTGTCAAAATTTTTTTTTGTATGTTTTAAGTTCAAAAAATCATTTCTACAGAAATTGGAATCAAGTTCATTTTTTTCTGATCGAATGTCAAATATAGAAAAATAAATATATCACATCAAACATCAAACCATGTTATTATCAAAAAAGAAAAAAAAGAGAAAAAAAAATTTAACAACGTTTTTATCACACATTAAAGAAGACAAAAAAAAATTTTCTTTTTTTTTAACTTATCATCACCATCATCATCAGAAAAAATCCACCCAATCTTTTTTTTTTTTTTTTTGCATACAATCGATGGTTTATATTCATATCAGCAGCAGCATATATATATCATTTATAATCAAATCAATCGATCGACTGATATTTGATACATTGAAATCAGTTTTTTTTCTCTCCCTCTCTCTCTCTTTTACTATCTTCAATCATTCAAATATCAATAACAACAAATAATAACAAGTCTTTGAAAATTTAATCCACTGACACACACACACAGAGAGAGAGAGGGAGAGAGAGATAAACACTGACAACTCAACAATTAAAACTAAAAAAAAACTGAAAATCATCAAACAATGTGAAGCAAACCAAAGAAGAAAAAAATGGATCAAATTTTCTTCTTTTTTTGTTCATTATCACTTTGAATATTTCTATTAATTAATTGTTTGATTGATTGATTGATGATGATGATTCTTTGGATCAATTTCATTATTGTTTTGTGTTTGTGACGCAATTTTGGTTTTAAATTTCAAATTTTAAATATTGTAGTGGTTCTGCTGTTTAGTTCATGAATATTGTACAAGTTTTGTGTGTCAGCATTATATATATATGTATATTGATCATCATTAGATCAAATCACACACACACACAATGAATTGTAATGAAAATGAAAAAAAACGACAAAATCATATTTCAATAAGATAATTGAACAGCAACAACAACGTACAAACAAACAAACAAATAATGGTGATGATGATCAATAATTTGTTCAAATGAATTGTAATTGTCAATTGTGAATGATCAAATGTGAATGGTATGTGAAATAAAAGGAGCCAAAAGTCTTTTTTTTTTTCTATAACCCAAAATGTTTGTGTGTGTGTGTGTGCTAGTGTTGTTTTTTTTTGTTGAAATTGAAAAAAATGAAGGAAATGAACATTTCCTTTTTTTTCCCCAATTTCATAATCATCATGTAGTGTTTTTTTCCTTCTCATTCTGAATATATATTTTGCCATTGCTCGTGTTCACAATAATAACATTCCAATTTGTTGTTGTTGTTGTTTGCGTGGCTATTGTTGTTGTTAATGAAAAAATTTCATTTTTTTTGGACTTATTTTATCAATGAAAAAAGAAGAAAAAGAAAAAACATTCAGTTACCGTGGTGCACAAATATATATATTTGTTGTTTGTTTGTTTTTTTTCTGATTTTGCATAATTTTTTTTCCTGTTTGTTCTCATTTTGATTGAATTTAATTTTTTTATATTCTTTTTTTCATTTTTTTTTCAAGGTTAACTAATTATATAATTCATCATCATCATCAGTAAAGATTTTCATCAAGACAAAAAAGAAAACATTCTTCTGTGATTCATCAGTTCTCTTCTCCTCGTTTGGAGAATTCATTTTTATTCTTTTCGTTGACAAATTTTTTGAATTTGAATTTGAATTTATAAAATTAATAAATCAACAAAACCACACACAACAATCATCATGAGTAATATAATAAATAAAATATTTCCATCACGTCGTAATCAAACAAAACAGTCTGGCTATACACCTGTTGTATCAAATATTGGTCGACCATTTCAGGTGAAACATAATCTACATGTTGGTTATAATATGGATACCGGACAGATTGAAGGATTGCCAACACCATGGGTGAATCTATTACGTGGTGCAAACATTTCACGTACAGAACAGCAAGAAAATCCAGAGGCTGTTATTAATGCCTTACAATTGGTTACATATGAAATGCAACGACAGCCAGAAAAATATCTAGCTAATCAAGATCTTATTAATACAGAGATACAAGAAATTGAAGAAACATGGCCACAATCAAAAGAATCATCGAAAATTCTTTTAGATGATGATGATTCATGTAAGTTATTATTGATTTTTTTTTGTTTTGTTTTCCTACTTGACCTATAATTTATGTCTATATTGTTTTAGCATCCGGTGATCAAAGTAATAATAATAAAAACAGTAATCTCTATGAAACCGATGATAGTGAAGCCGATCAACCAATCAACAACAATAATACAAATCAATCAACTACAACAACAACAACAACGGATAAATTAGCAAAACAAATAGAAAAACGTCTTCAATTAGAACAGGAAGATGATATTTTAAATAATAATAATAATAATAATCATCATCATCATCATCATCATCATCATTATCCACAAAATGAAAATGAATCGAAGAAAAAATCACCAACTAGTCTAGATAAATTTGAAAAACAGCAGCAACAACAACAACAACAACAAGAACAAAAATTGAAGAAAAAATCTGAATCACCAGCACCAGTCAAAAATGTTGCCGAAAATGCTAGTAGTGATGGTAATAAATCGAATAATCAGCAAACAAAAGCAATTTTACGTAAAAAAGAGAAAAAAGCCAAACAAATGACTGAGGTTGAAGTAAAACAAGTGCTTAAAAGCATTGTCAATTCGGGTAATCCACGTGTACGATATAAAATGTTGAAAAAAATTGGTTCAGGTGCATCCGGCACTGTATTCACAGCGTTAGATAATGAAACACAGGAAAAAGTGGCAATCAAAACAATGAATATTTCACAACAACCAAAACCGGATCTTATTTGTCGTGAAATCTGTGTAATGAAAGATAATCGTCATGCAAATTTGGTCAATTATCTTGATAGTTATCTAGTTGATGATACTGATCTATGGGTTGTAATGGAATATCTTGAAGGTGGTCCATTAACAGATGTTATTACGGAAACAATAATGCGTGAAACACAGATTGCAGCCATTCTACGTGAAATTGTTAAAGCTATTGCATTTTTACATTCAAAGGTTTGTCTATTGCATAAGTGTGTAATTTTTAAAATAATAAATTTTTTGATTTGATTTGATTTTACGATTTGTAAACTAAAGGGTATAATACATCGTGATATCAAAAGTGATAATGTATTGCTTGAAATGGATGGCCAGGTTAAAGTGACGGATTTTGGATTCTGTGCACAAATTATGCCACAAGAAAAACGTGAAACAATGGTCGGCACACCGTATTGGATGGCACCAGAAGTTGTATCACGTAAACAATATGGACCGAAAGTTGATGTGAGTGTTTTCACTATTTGGATTTTTCATCTATAGATGATTATTATTATATAATTACTATATATTTTTTTTTTTGAATGAAAAAATAGATATGGTCATTAGGTATAATGATCATTGAAATGCTTGAAGGTGAACCACCATATATAAATGAACATCCACTTAAAGCATTATATTTGATTGCATCGAAAGGCAAACCAGAAATTAAAAACAAAGATCAACATTCACCAGAATTGAATGATTTTCTTGATAGGTATGATTTGATAATTGATGAACAAAAATTGAGCAATAATTTCAATTTTTTGTTCAATAATTAAATTTTCAGATGTCTAGAAATCGATGTAGATAAACGTTGGTCAGCAGATGATCTATTGCAACATCCATTTCTGAAAAAATGTGAATCATTAAATTCGATTGTACCGTTGATTAAAACGGTTAAAAAATTACTGAACAAATGAATGAACCAATCCGCAGTGAATCGATTATGTGGTCAGAATCAATGTTCCAGAATTTTTTTTTCTAAAATATTAAATTAATGTTCAACTTCAAGTCATTATTATTATTATTATTATTCCAACAATATTTATTCAAAAAAAAACGATTGAAATGATTTTTTTTCCTCTCGATATTTTTTAATCGAAATTCTTATGATTTTTCTCGTTCATCATTCACCATCATCGTCATCATTGTCATCAGTCATCGTTGAATCATCATCATTCTCGTTATTGAAGTACAATATTTTTATTCTCCGATTGGTGATGGGGCTATTTTGATAATCAATAAAATTAAAAAAAAAAATTTCCCTCTGCAACAAATGCACTAAAATCGAATTTTGTACAACAACAATTGTCACTGATAATTTAAAAATGTCAAAGAATTTTATGTTAAATACACGTACAAAAAAAATTGATTGTTTTCCTTTTTTTGTTTTTCTTTTTTATCTGATTAAAAATTGAAAAAAATTTTTTTTTTTTATAAATCCAAAAAAAATTATTTTTCAAAATAGTTCAACACCGGCCACTAGATGGTGGTGGTGCATTCACTTTTCTCACCAATATTTTGGCTGTTGTCATCATCATCATCATCATCATCTGGTCATGCCATTTCGGCTTACAAAATATACAATAATTGTGAGTAAAACGAGTATTTTTTCATTGAAATTTGTGAAAATCAATTATTACAAAACTGTTATTTTTCTCATTGCCAAAAACGAAACTCGAACAAAAAAAAAATTTTGTCAGCCAAACAAAGTAGCTGAACAAACGATAACCACAACGAAGAAGATTAAAAGTGGGGAAAAAATGTCCCTATTTTTATACATTAAAGTAGTATTTAGACAATTTAAAAATTCACTATGGTTATTGATCAATTGTCTTAAACGTTTGATTTTGTTTGTATTTCGTCGACAAAATCAACAACAATTGCAATTGCAACAACAACATGTTCAAAATAATAATTCACAATATGATCCATTGGATTTTGTTGTCGTCGATAAGCCTTTGATAAATGATAATGCCACATCCATATCATCATCGAAAACTACATCATCATCGATGATGATGGCAAATGATTCCATTCTGAATAAATCCGATCATCATCATCTTCATCAACAACAACAGCATTCGAAATTTCCAAATGTCCAAAGTTATACTGAACAAGGTATGAAGAATTTATATTTTGGCTAATTATTCTTTAAATATTCTTCATTGTTTTTTTTTCATCTACAGATATATACAATTATTCCAATTATAGCCTCACATCAATTAAGGCTAAACAACAGCAACAGAATTATAGTTATGATTTAAATTATTCAAAAAATCGATCACAAAATTCTGGAACGAATCAAACGGAAATTGATGAAAAAGAAGAGCCCGATTATTTTCAGGATATGGTGCCCGAATTTAAAAAACCTAAAACGGTACTATCCCTTTGGCGAATAGAAGTAGTCATGTTAATGTTATATTAATCCATTCATTTTGTTTCTTTTTTTTCTTTGTTTCCTGGATTAAATTTCTTTTTGAAAAAAATCATCATCATCATCATCATCATCATTGGAATTAAAATCCTAAATCCTGATAGATTTATGTGAATAAACATGATCATCCAATGGCCGATATCCATAATAATGACGAAAATGAGCTTAATAAAATTGAACGAAAATTTCGTTTTATGCAACAAAATCAACATCAACAAAATGATCCTTATCAAATGAATAATAATCATTCATCATCTATGTTGGATGAAACAAAATTCACTAATCAATTTGGTAGTCTTGATGATATCGATATATCCGTAAATCCTAGTCAAATGGACATGAAAATCACTAGCTGGGAAGAAATGGCCAATGAAGATGAAGAATTATGGATTGATACGGATCAACAATTGGAAACAATGCGACGACAACGTCGTGAACAACGTCTTAATGAACATCGTCGGCAACGACAATTGAAGCAATTGGCTAAAAAATGAACAAACAAACAAACAAACAAAAAAAAAATAAATAAAAGCGCTCAGGGGATTATCATTCTAGAAAAAAGAATATTCTTTATTAATGATGATTGAAAAAAAAACGTATAATATATCGATATTTAATGATGACGACGATAAGGATGATGCTGGTGATGGGTGCAAATATTCTTTGGATGACAATTAAATGAGAGATTTCATAATATCATTGGTTCATTTGTTTTTTTTGTTGTTCGTTGTTATATCGATACTTGAATCCTCATCGGATTAATTTAAACGATCAACCAGAATGGATCAACAACATGGAATATTTCAGGCTTTATATACTGTAGTGACAATTCTATGGATTTTTTTTTATTATATATTTAATTTATTAAGCTCAGACACACCCTCCACTATATTGCAAAACATTTTCATTCATGTGATCACTATCAATCCATCAGGTTAGAACGACAACGACGACGACGACGACAAACAGGACTTGTTGTTGTTGTTATTTTATTGTCTTTGCGGTCGATTGAATTGAAATTTCGGTCCATTGGAATATTTGTTCAAATTATTCACACAACAACAAACACATCAGGGAACATAATCTTTATCTGGTTCATTGACCATCATCATCATCATCATCATCTAAAAGATTCTTATTTCATAATATTTGGATTCGAATTCGATTTGAAGACAGAAATTCTTGACAAAATTTCTATTTATTCAACATAGAAATTCTTCATTTTAACAATCGATATTTTCTTGCTTTATTATTAATTTGAAACGAATTTCAAATTGATCTTTTTTCTTAGTGTTTTCTTTATTTTTAAACACACACACACACACACACACACACATATGCAAAGACAATAAAATTACTGATGTTTATCCTGTGTGTGTGTGTGTACCAATTTCGATATCTTTTTCTCTTCCATCCAAAAAAAAACCAATTCTCTTTTTGATCCAATGATGTGTCCGTCCGGAATAACACCTACGCTATTCGTAGAATTTTTTGGCATGTTGAAATTAAATTTTGAAAATAATCAAACACAACCAAAAAAAAATGAGGAGGAGGAGGAAGAGGATTTAGTTTGGTGGCAATCGCCATTAACAATATTAACAATATCCAGTGATGATAAATCATTGTTTTTCATCATAAAAGTAATATATATATTCATTCCATAACATAATTGTATTCGAGCAAACAAACAAATTCAATTTAACAAAAAAAAAAAATAAAAATAAAAATAAAATAAAAAATGAGAATGAGAATCATCATCCATCTTATATACACCAACTATTTGATTTATTCAGAATTCAAAAAAAAAAACATTCGATCGATATTTTTTCACAAAGGAAACATCAATTTGAGTTTTTCATCATCATCATCATCATCATCTCTACTTTGTAATATGCTTTCTTGTGTTTTGCGTTATGATATATCAATTTGATTGATGTACGTAGATCGATGCTAGGCTATTCAAAGGAAATTAAGGTTCAATCTTTTGTATGAGATCATTTCATTACGATAATCTTTGACAAATGTTCGATAGTCGATATTTATATATTTAAACAGTCTCCTGCAGGCTTTTTTTTCGTTTCGGCCTAAGTTTTTTTTTCTATTACTATTTGACATTAATATAATGATGATGATAAGTATCACATGTATTTGTATGCGTGTGTAGGTTTTTGGGAACAAAGAAAGAAAAAAACATAAAAAAAAATTTATTTGGGCCATTCAAACAAAAGGCAACAAACAAGAATATTCTTGTCGCTGCATTGCACTTTTAAACAAATCTTAATAAATATGAATGGAATCAATTTATGAATATGAAGAATTTTGTGAAGTAACTTTTCTTAGTAATTCAATGCAAGCATTTCTAAGGCAGCAGGATTTTTTTTTTTTTTTTGCTAATTACGTAAGTAAAAAAGAAAAATATGGATTCAAATGAATATCCTTGGCTATTCATAGATATTTTTTTTATTCTCTTCTCTATACTTACAAAGTGAACAATAATAACAACAACAACAACAACAACAACAACAACAACAGCATAATGATAACATGAATATTTCTAGGCTGATCACATTATTAGTGATGAATGTATACATGCAATATATACATACATGTTTTATATGGATGACCAAATTTGGAGCAAAGAAACGACTAGAAATAGTGAAAGACAACAAGAAAATTGACATTTATACGAAAATAGAATTATCATAATAATGGTCAACATTTCTTGAGAAAAAAAAATGAGAACAACACACACACACACACATATACAGCATATCGATATATGCAGAGACAAACTTATCGACCCAGCCGGTTTGATTATATAACAATAACTACATTCCATATATATATATATACATAATGGGTCAATCCTTGATATCGATATCTGATTTTTCATGATCATCAATAATTTTTTTTTTATTTTTTCGTTTCCTTTTTGTTTATTGCATACAATTTGAATGAAAAAAAAACCGGAACATCCACATTCAACAACAACAAAAATTCATTCAATTTATTGTATTACCACAACGAAAATAAAAACAAGTCAACAATTTTCTACTTTGAGTATGGGATACATAATTTTTTTTCGAATAGATTCCATAAAGTTCATTGGTATCAGGTTTCAATCAGCCATCAATATATACAGTGGCAACAATAACAATTTGAATGTCAATATTGATTTTTTTTCCTTTTCTTTGTTTTTCCAGTTACCAAATTTCAGTTTACATAAAAATATAATTTTTTTTTCCTCATCTTGATCTGAAATGGAAATTTTCATGATCACAGAATTTTCTTTGAACATAAAGAATCATGAAATAGCAAATCAATCAAATAGAAATATAAATAAGCAAGCATTCCATCATCATTCATAATGGCAAACAAAATATAATGTTTGAAAAATATCCAATTCAATGACGAATTTTCAATGATTTTTTTTTTGTCCAAATGGACAATGTTTTTATTTATTTTATTTTTTGTTGAGAAAATGACCAAATGATTCTTGATTTTGATAGATAGATAGTGACAATTTTGTTCATTTCGAGATCGGAAATAGATTATACACTTGAAAGGAACTAGAAAACATGGAACATATATATATATATATAATATATTGATGACATGATCGATCAAAAATTGAAAAAAAATAATTCATGTTTATTCATTCATTCAATGAAAAATTTCTATTATATCCATCATCATCATCATCATCATCATATGTGACAGACAAAATGTTTGTTTGGCCATTTCAATGAATTCTACAATTTGTTAGTTCTATGTAATATCTGAATGTGCTTTTGAACGAAAAAGGAATTACACACACACACACACAGACACATTTATTTGTTTCATAATTGAATATTTTTCCAATTACGAATTTTTTTTTTCGGTAATAATCTCCATCGTCATCATCATCATCATAATCAATAATTATCGATTCTATACCAGATTCATTGATCGCAATTAGAATTATTCTTAATCCTTAATAAACGATTAATTCTATCTATCCTCTATTTGGCTCTTGTGGCATTAAACACAATATTTTCATTTGACAATGAACTTGTCATCATGTCAATAAGAAATAAGAATTAAATAAATAAAGTGGAAAATTCTTCTGTTTTTTTTGCTCTTTATTGTAATTTGAACAAAAAAAAAAAGAAAACGAGATGAAAAACTGTTTCGATGATGAAAAAAAAAGTTTCGTTTTTCACGTTAATTTCATGGAAGCAAAAAGAATAATAATGGAAAAAAACAATACACTTGATGTTTGTCATTTGATTGAGAGCTATTTGGGCGTAAAATGAAGAAATTCGATTCTTTTTTTTCCATTGTTTGGTGTAGGCTTTGATAAATGTCAAATTCATCTAACCGTTTATATTCAAGAAAGAAAGAGTAAGTGAGTTAGTGAGTGAGTGAAAAAAATGAAGAAAATTGAAGCTTTTTTCTTGAATTCCAACGATTGGCCAATCATCAATGACAGATTTGAATTGCTCAATAGTAGTTGATCGACAATTTGTCTGATGTAAGAAATTGGATCTTGCTAACAGAAATCTATATATAGCTTACACCTGAAATCATTCATGATTATTTCATATTGTCAAGTAAACATTTTTATCATTTATATTCGTTCGTTCTTTCATTCATTCATTCATCAGAATGTGTCAGAATATTGTGATTTCATTTCATTTGATAAAATCGATAAATTATTTTATCAAATTAAATGACACCTCACTGAATATATATCTCTTATTAATTTAATAGATGACATTTGAAATTTAATTTTTTTTTTTCATTTATTCCATTCATTAGTGTATATTCATTTGACATTCATCAAATTAAGAACAAAAGAAGAAGAAAAAAATGAATACAATAATAAATTATGCGAAATATGATGATGATGATGATGATGATAAACTTTTAATGAAAGATGATATTTTTTTGTTCATTTAAAAAATTCTACATTTTGAATTGAATAAAGAATTTTTGTTTTGATGTTCCATCAACAACAACAACAACAACGACAACAAATATTCGATTATGTATTCTTTATCATTTGTTTCATTTTGGCTATATGTAAATTCTTTTTGATGCAAAAAGCGAATCAGTTTTTTTTCCCATTCTCTTCAGAGAATTGTATGAATGTAGTTCAGATTTCACTGGAATCATCATCATGCACTCATCTATTTTCATTGGCAGAATTATAATAAATGAAAAAATATACAAAATAAAGAAAAAAACAACGATAAATGGTTGTGATTTTGAAAAAAAATGAAGAAAAACAAACACTGGACAATGGCTACAATTTTTTTTTCATTCTATTTCATTGAATGACATGACCAAAAAAAAAAAAAAACATGAATTCAATGGAATTTCTGCTGGTTTTTTTTTCTATAAATTTAAATTTCATCACATTCACAATCATCATCATCATCATCGCCATCAGAAACAACAACGACAACTTATAAATACGTTGACAATTATTTTGAATGTAGGCTGCTACAGTACAAATGAAAATGAAATTAATACATATATATTGTATATTGTTTATGAAGAAAAAAAAATGATGTGTTTTTATATAATATAAAGGCAACTTTAATATGTAAACGTCAAAATTTTATTTGCAGATATATATCATCATCATTGTGGCCACATTGTATTTCATAATTTCGGTCAAAATCCGTTTCTGCACACACACACACACACACACACACACACATTCGTTTGTAGATTTGAATTTCGCAATTGAATTTTCAATTTAAAAAATTGAAAATATTTTTTTTTTTTTTTTTTTCATCCACTGTCCAGTACAAAGATCAACAAATTGGTGGTCAGCTACTGAATTGTCAAGTTTTTGTTGATTTATTTTTATTTTTTTTTTTTTGCACTACCATT